AACTGTTTTCTGTTAGTCCGAAATCGTGGCGAATGCCGAGTGCAATACGCTATATTTGATGAAGCTTGTAAAAAAGCACCGAACGTGTATGGGTGCTGCTAAAAAGTGCAGACAAGAAATGGAGGGAAAATTTTATATATCCCGTTTTAGGGGCTATAGGTGGTGGACACTTGTTGGATTTGGAGTTTATGCACTTGGAGCACTTGGGTTTTTTGTATTAGTACACTGCTTGGCTTTTCCCTAACAACTGTTGGAGCATAGTAGGGGTATTTGACTCACCATCTTATGACAAAAGAAGATTCGCATAAATCATTTACCGATTTAGCTGCCACTTTTGATGAAATGTACGATACTAACTAAGAAAATCAGAAGAAGGGGTTAACAGAGTAAGTGCTGAAATGAAGCGGGTTGGTACTCTGTACGCGAATTTCCAATTTTCTGAGGGGAAGAATCATTCAGCGAAACTCTGGAGTTACATTACTGATCGCATGGTCAAGCAAAGCTCAGAGACTCTGAAACACCTGTTTAAGCCGACAACAGCTAAGAAAATGCAGTAGCCACTGGCATGATGTGAAACATGTCTGGTAGAATACTGCAATAATGTAGTATGCCGTTGCATTGTTTACGTTTTACCACTATTACACGAAACTTTTCCCATTGTTGAACTACACAAATAAGTGCGTTGCGCGAACACGAGACCCAAGCCACGCAAACTCTCTGTAAGAGGAACGATGGTGATGTATGTATGAGATTCACCAGCTGAATAAGGGTGAGAACTGTCTTTAGCACCATTTCAACTTAGCAGTGCATTGGGATAGTTGTGTAGCAGTGCCTGTTCATGTGGGTAGCAGTCCCACCCATGGGGCTCTGGGTGAAGGTCATGACCAAGTGCAACTTCATCATACGAGCGTGAGAAACTCCTAGCAACACTCACTCAGGTCACACATACCGAGTGTGAGAAACTCAATATTAAAAACATTATTGCTAATAGATAGAAACATCGGTAGTTGGAATATTTTTAGTCTTTCTGTCTCTGTACTTGTTGTAATAACCACTTCCAGCCATCATAAACACTGGTATGAGTCTTGAATCTCTTCTTTTGTCTACTCTTACGAAGATATCTGTGAAAATAGGTATTGGTTAATGTTTACTACTGTCACTGTCACTGTGTACCAGACGATCGCAAAATATTGTGTATTTCAGTTTTAAAACTGTTAGCGATACAAATACACCAGAGCTATGGGTAGTGTTGACACTGCACAATTAGACCCCTCCAAAATCTATTCATGGATGGTTGAACAGCTTGGAGCTAATCCTACCATGGTAACAGCTCACATGACAAGAGATCTGATACTGAGGGTCGTAGCAGTGGTGGCAGCCAAGACCAGAGGCCAATAGTACCAGAAAGAGAGGAGAGCAGCCAGTCTGTCTCCCTTCACCAGTCCCCCACCACGAGACTCTGGTATAGCAGTGCCAGAGTAGGAAGATAGGTCGTCCAGGATGGCCTGTGTGGAGGCCAGGAGGTGGAGGAGACAGTAGTTGGCCAGGATGACCGTCTCGAGGAGGTTCTGCCACCACCTCTGGTAGGGCCACCAGTAGAGATGGAGACCCAGGGCTGGCACCACCACATAGAGGGCTGAAACCTGTGGAATGTGCACAACATGCGTAATAACCAATGAAACAAGAAGCCCTTCAGTCCAAATAAGTGCTTATGGGCACAGAGCCAGGTTTACAAAAGCAGGTTAAAATGTGTGTAAGCTTTTAAGAGGTTAAATGTAAAATGGTTATTGACTTACTGATCTTCCAGGGGTACCAACCACAACAGCAATGAGGATGAGTCTGCGTAAGAGATCCCAGGCACCCCACCATCTTGTCCTCTCTGTGTAGCCTGCCTTTACTGCTTTACTCAGCCTGTCTATAATGGAGTACTTCTCCTATGGTTTAGGAATAAGTGGTTAAAATGCTTGAGGTGGCATTAAAGCCCTACTTTTATAGCAGGTGAGTGACTGACAACGAAGAAGAAAAGAATGATTGTCAAGGGCAGTAGACCAAGGAGGATGAGGATGATGATGGCAAGTGTGGCCAGAGTGGCATGGCCTCCATCTTTGAAACACACTACCTCCCCATCCAGAAACCATCTCTGGAGGACAGGGACACAAAATAGTCATAGCTAGAAGTGCTGATAGCTACAGTGGAACCTCTGAACAAGGGACAGCATGAAACCAATGATTTTGTCCCTCTAGAGAGGCCGTCCCTATATTGCGAGGTCAAAAAACATGCTAAAGTATGGAGATGAAGCAAGTGTCCCTTGTAGAGACGTTGTCCCTATCTTGGGAGGTCCCTTATCAGAGGTTCCACTGTATTAATTATGAAACAGATATTGTGAATGGCTAACTAACAGGAGTTGGTTCCCCTCCCTCTGCAGGCGGTATTGAAGGGCAGTGGAGGAGAGAGACACAGGTGTACACCAGTGGAGCATACAGCAGCAGGATAAAGGCCCACACTCCACGCCAGATACGCTTCTGCGCCCTAAAACATGAAATACATCTTGCAAGGGAACACAACACAAGTGTGACAAAAATAAATCTGAGACAACTATCGTAGGCTCATTTTGCTTGTCAATAATAGCTAAACAACTGAGACAAATGAAGTAAGAGAGTGCATGGGAAACCAGTTACCTTTTCTCAAAGCAGTAGAACACGGTGATAACAGCAGAAATAGTTACCAGTAGGGCAATGACAGGAGGAACAAAACGAGGGGGGAAGGAAGCGAGAGCAGTGGTGCCAGAAGCGAGACATACATCCCAGGGGAAGTAGAGTCCCAGAGCACTGCCTAGATACAGCATCTGGAAGTAAGGTATAAGTTAATGACACCCAGGACCACACGTTTAAAAAACAGTTTTGCTGTTTTGGTCGAGCTATATATTGTTCCCCCTTTCCGAGAATATAACATGATGGAAAGACAAACTCATAACTCTGTTTATGGCAATAGATACACATATAACTTCTTTACGGGAGGTTCCATGTCAAGCCAAGGGTTACTCTGCTTACATATTGTCTGATGGGCCAGAACGAGGCTGGAAAGTATTCTGTTGTGTAGTAGACAGTCTGTGGAAAAATGGAGAAAGTACAAGTCAGCACTAGCTACACCTGAAAGGACATTTGGTTTTACCTGGATGTAGAAGAGAAAGCCTTTCATTGAGTCGGGAAAGGTGAAGCGGAGTTTGACCAGGGCTATGAGTATCACCGCACAGATCAGAGTGTCTCCTATCACTGTTTGAGTGACAAAAGAACAATTTGAAGCATCTATGTAGCTCATTTATTTGTTAGATCATTGCTAATTACCTAGGAAGCCAAGTGCCCAGTAGGCATTTGAGCCACAGTGTCTGCAGTTGAATCTCAATACTCCCACACTGCTCTCATTAACACAACGACCACAGAGAGTCCCTGTAATAAAAAAACCAATTAACAGCAATACTGATCGCAGTTTATTGCATTTTTGACTCCAAACTGAATCAGTGTTGCTACAATACCTACACTAGAAAAATTCAACACATTTTGGCAAGCAAATGTCAGAGCTAGTAACATGTATGTGGCACGTATACATGATAGCAAAATTGCTTTACGCATAAATTTATTGCACAACAATGGTGATGACATCAGAAAGGAGATATAATTACCTTCTCTGAGGATGTGGCATTGTTTATCAGTATTGGCATCGTCGTGGTAATAGAGGCTGTCGCATGTGATGTTATTCTCATCAGAGCACTGGCAGAAGGGGGTGGGACAGACATGAACCAGCAGCTGGGAGTCTTCGTTGGGTGCTGCCCACAGTCCATTCTGAGTAGAAGGATACATGGTAGTTGCATGGAATTGTCTTTTGGAAAAATTGACTTATGCAAGCACAAAAAAGGGAATAAGAAAAATGGGCTTCTGTCAGGAGTTGAACTCGGCAATGGTGACTGAAAGTCCGGTGCACTCAACTACAACTTGTGTCTTTTTTTTTCTTATATGCATAGCTATAATTATAGCTACATAGTGTAAAGTAACTGATAACAATACCCGGAGGTAGATGATGTTCCTGGTCTCATCGCAGTCCAGGAGTGAGAAGGTGAAGTCCTGACAGCCACAGGTGAGCAGGCCGTCATCACGAGCCTGCAACTCATAGCCTGGGAGACAGCTTGCAACATCCAGTCCAAATGAGAACTGCTTCGACTGGTGATGAGAAATACTTATGAAAGGGACAATGTTTTACACTGTATGTTAACATCCTGATGCACAGGTATCTGGTGAAGAAAGCTATCTAGTGAAGAAGGCTACAATAACTACTACCTGCTTGCAAACTGGCTAGGGGCAGACCAAACACACCGTGTGTCCACCATAATAGGTCCTTCATTAAAACACCTCAAGCGTAGTCAAAGTAAAGGTCGCTTTTAGCTATCAATCAAGAAGAACAGATGGTTGTGAGCTATCAAAGCAGTGGGAGTCGCTAAGACTAAGCAAAATGGCAGGCCCAAATACTAGATAGCTATATAATATGGTGTAAAAACTTACATCAATGACATTGTAAGGGGTGTCGACGATGGCAGTGATGTTCTGCGTGGTCCACTGGGAGGAGACTGGTGTGTGGTAGACCACCTCCACTGATGGGTTGTTGGGCAAAACTGGCACCAGGGAAGGCTCAAACACCACAGGTTCACCTTCGTCATCCTATGAAATGAAGAATGTCAGCATTTAAAATAGCGGTTTCAAGGTAAAAAGCGTCTGGGATTTGAGAATGAAAACCTTCGAGTCCTACTGTGCACTTTTCCATCCCTCAAAAGATGATGGAAAAAACTGTTATGATTTACCCTCAACCGTGAATGTTTCTCCTTTGAAACTTTGCTGTAAGTGCTTACATTGCTGGTGAAAGAGATCTCGTTGTCAGTGGTCTGGCTAAATGCTCCCTGGTTGACCTTGGCTCGTCTGTCTGAGATACGAGCTATGATGTAGGTAGACAAGTTGAACTGGTCCAGTCCCTTCAGACTCAGCCGAATCTTTTTCCCTGGGAATGCTCCCTCCTTAACAAGGGATATATACAGAGATAACACCTTTTTCACTGTTGGTGCTGGATATCAAGATAACTCAGAACATAATATGAGAAGACCTTGGGTAATCAGGACTATATACAAAGTTGTATAGTTTTGCAATTGTGTCCACACTTCTTACATTTCCTGTGGTAGTACTGCTTTCAGATGCAACCCTTAGAGCTTGTGTCTGGAAGTAGAACTCTGGAGATGTCCCATTAATGTGTGATGTTGCATTATTGCTACCAGCAGAGCTGTTGTGCAAGAACAACGAATAATAAACGATTGACTACAGTATAGATGGTGCTCACTAGTTGAAGACTGGCCATTGAGTGAAGTCAGTGGTGGAGAATGTAGAGGCTATGTGGTTTGGAGACATGGAGACAGAGAACCAGGAGCAGAGGTCTAGGTGAGAGGTGTACACCACAGGAGCCACTGCCGCTCTGTTCCCAGAGAATCTCATAGTCACCTGCACAAACAGCAGCGAAAGCTTGCTACAGATGCACTTCTCTTGTATTTAGCTGTAGTATAATATTATTGAATTGTAATCCTTCTGGGAGTTATCATTATCGTCATCTGGAAGTAGCATTTAACTGTTGTTGTAAGACTACCTACACACTTATTAACATACCATGAACTCTATGAATATAATTCACATGGTCATGTGGTCTCAACACAATACCGGCAACATATATAGTATGACAGGGTCAGACCTACCTGGTCCCAGCTGTCGGGAGCTACAGTGAGTATCTTCAAAGATTAGAAGCACTGTGTGTTGAAAATGAGCTGTGAGAAAACTCGTGATGTCCTTTGCACATCCCCACTATAGCTGACCCAGTCTAATACATGATGAATCAATAGTATGGATAACTATTATACTTTGATACCTTCCCAAGTTCTCCAAAAGTCTATGTGTGAGCCGCGGTAGAGCTTGACCTGACCAAAGGCAGAGAGATAGAGAGCCCCACCCTCGTGGCTCTCTGCATTGTTCCCAATGAAGGAAATGGTTCCATACACTGCTATCTGTGCTCCCACACTCTGTACATGAATGAATAAGGATCACTTTTGTATGTATCTAGTTGTATGTAGTTTAAAGCATATACCCTTAGCCCTGCGCCGGTGTTGTTCAGGAACTGGTTATGTCCTGTGAAGTTCTGAGGTATAAAACCACGGCGAATGTCCCACCAGGTGATGAGTTGTTGAAAAACATACTGAGAGGAGGTAAAACAAATGGATATGGGCTTCTGCAGTGAAATCGCTTTGGCTAGCTCTTACTTGTCTGACACCTGGTAGTAGTTTGATGATAGCCGGTTCTGCACATACAGCAGAGATGCAAACATGACACCACTTCCTACGTTAATAGCCGTGTTCCTCTCAAAGTAAGACTCCCTCAGTGTGATACTGTTCCCTGATCCCTGACTGAACACCTGAACACCGATTACACCGCTGAGTCCTCCACCAAACCATGCAGTGTTACCAACAAAGCGGCAGCGTGAAAACTCCAGTTGGCTCGGTCCATGTCGTGCATTTCGAATCAAGAATCCCGCTTGTATCCCTCCCCCAAAGCCTCCCTCGTCAGCCATGTTGGACGTGAAGTTTGAGTCGGTTACCGTGAAATTGTGTGAAGTGCTGACTCCATCGATGTTTATGTACAGCCCACCACCAAAGGATTCTGCATAATTGGACTCAAACCTACACCTCTCTATCATTACAACTATGTTGACAAAGTATTCGTCCAGGAACACCCCGAATCCCCCACCTCGACCGAAATAGATGTGATTGTTGAGTGCCTGGTTTATTTGCTGCTGAGAGCTAGCCTCGGGGAGGCTGACTCTGTTATGAGTGAACTCACAGTCAGTGACAGTTACTGATGGAGGTAGGGAGGTGTTGAAGTACGCAGTAGCATTGGTGTGGTATGCAATCCCGAGTCCTCCAGAGTTGGCATGATACTGTTCCTTCTGGAGCATGGCCGAGTTGTTGAAGAAGACAGAGTCCTCGACTTGTACTGTCTGGCAGTTGAAGATATCCACAGCCGAGGCTGTGAACCCACTGCATGAAGAATAGAAGAAATAATTAGCACCATACAGTACAACCTCTACACAAGTTAGCTAACTGACGTGAAAATGCAGTTTGATATTCCGACGTAATCCATGGTGTCGAATCTCAATGGTCTTGGACAATTCTGAAACTTTACTCCCTTCATCTGCACAAACAGCTCTTCAGTAGTACTAGCAGATGATGAAGATGAGAGCCTCTGGAACCACAGTGGGTTATTGAGAATGAGCATCTCGTCCGCTGGAAGGCAAGAAACGGTTGCCTCCGTTTCCACCGCCTCCAATACCAGGCTGTATGTGATGTCAGTTGCGTTGATGCTATCAAGAGTGTAGTTACCAGGTGACAGTTTGACTTCAAGGCAGTCATTAGCTGCTACAAGACCATCGTTGTATTTCTGCAGATGGTCCGACAGTTGCTTACAATCGCCGGCGATGTTGTCTCCATCGACGTGCGTGCAATTTCCCGACTCACTGAGCGTGATAGAAGTGGAGCAGTTTCGTTCTAGTAAGGAAGCAGACGAGGCTGCAATCACAACATCACAAGTAACGAGGAAAAGCAACAGAGTCCCCTTGTCTTTCTTCATGGCTAGGACGAGCCTATACGAGCTCCTCCCACTTTCTTGTCGTTAAACATGACGTAATTGCCGACCGACCTATTTCTGGCTCTGTCCTTGGAGGAGACATGCAGGCTCTCGTCCTACTGATAGCAGTGGCCTCTCTCCTTCCACCCATTACCAGTCAGACTTGTAAATTACTAGAGCAATCGCTGGATCCATTGCAGAAGGGACCGGATGATGTCACTGTGAGGAGGGTGGAGCTGAACGGAACAGACAACGCGAGCTGCCTCAACGCCAACAGAGAGCAAGACTCACCACCGTGTCGTACCATAGAGTTTGCCCTTCAGCCGACGTTAAGGAACTGTTTCTGTTAGCCCGAAATTGCGTGGCGAATGCCGAAGTGCAATACGCTATATTTGATGAAGCTTGTAAAAAAAGCACCGAAACGTGTATGGGTGCTGCTAAAAAGTGCAGACAAGAAAATGGAGGGGAAAAATTTTATATCCCGTTTTAGGGGCTATAGGTGGTGGAGCACTTGTTGGATTTGGAGTTTATGCACTTGGAGCACTTGGTGTTTTTGTATTAGTACACTGCTTGGCTTTTCACTAACAACTGTTGGAGCAGCAGTAGGAGGGTATTTGACTCACCATCTTATGACAAAAGAAGATTCGCATAAATCATTTACCGATTTAGCTGCCACTTTTGATGAAATGTACGATACTACTAAGAAAATCAGAGAAGAGGTTAACAGAGTAAGTGCTGAAATGAAGCGGGTTGGACTCTGTACGCGATTTCCAATTTTCTGAGGGGAAGAATCATTCAGCCGAAACTCTGAGTTACATTACTGATCGCATGGAAGAAAAGCTCAGAGACTCTGAAACACCTTTAAGCAGAAAACAGCTAAAGAAAATGCAGTAGCCACTGGCATGGATGTGAAACATTTCTGGTAGATGCTAATGTAGTATGCAGTTGGCATTTTTAGTTTTACCACTATTACGAAACTTTTACCCCATTGTTTATAACTACACAAATAAGTTGGGGGCGTTGTGCGAACCACGAGACCCCACGCACAACTCTCTGTAAGGGAACAAGGAGGTGTGTATGGGGGGTGTATGAGATCACCGCTAATAAGTGTGATACATGTTTTGCACCATTAACTTAGCATGCTTGGGGATATTGTGTATGTGCATGTTCATGTGTTATCAGTCCCACCCATTGGGCTCTGGGTGAAAGGTCAATGACCAAAGTGCAACCTTCATCATACCCGAGCGTGGAGAAACTCCTAGCAACAACTCACTCAGGTTCACACATACCCGAGTGTGGAGAAACTCCAATATTAAAAACATTATTGCTAATAGATAGAAACATCGGTAGTTGGAATATTTTTAGTCTTTCTGTCTCTGTACTTGTTGTAATAACCACTTCCACCATCATAAACACTGGTATGAGTCTTGAATCTCTTCTTTTGTCTACTCTTACGAAGATATCTGTGAAAATAGGTATTGGTTAATGTTTACTACTGTCACTGTCACTGTGCACCAGACGATCGCAAAATATTGTGTATTTCAGTTTTAAAACTGTTAGCTACACCACACCACAGCTATGGGTAGTGTTGACATCTGCGCATTAGACCCCTCTAACAGCTATATATTCGTGGATGGTTGAACAACTTGGAGCTAATACTACCATAGTAACAGCTTACATGACAAGAGATCTGATACTGAGGGTCGTAGCAGTGGCGGCTGCCAAGACCAGAGGCCAGTAGTACCAGAAAGAGAGGAGAGCAGCCAGTCTGTCTCCCTTCACCAGTCCCCCACCACGAGACTCTGGTATAGCAGTGCCAGAGTAGGAGGATAGGTCGTCCAGGATGGCCTGTGTGGAGGCCAGGAGGTGGAGGAGACAGTAGTTGGCCAGGATGACCGTCTCGAGGAGGTTCTGCCACCACCTCTGGTAGGGCCACCAGTAGAGATGGAGACCCAGGGCTGGCACCACCACATAGAGGGCTGAAACCTGTGGTATCACACGTCATTTGATAATAATGTACACAACATGCGTAATAACCAATGAAACAAGAAGCGCTTCCATCCAAATAAGTGCTTATAGGCACAGAGCCTGTAATACCAGGTTTATAAAAGCAGGTTAAAATGTGTGTAAGCTTTTAAGAGGTTAAATGTAAAATGGTTACTTACTGATCTTCCAGGGGTACCAACCACGACAGCAATGAGGATGAGTCTGCGTAAGAGATCCCAGGCACCCCACCATCTTGTCCTCTCTGTGTAGCCTGCCTTTACTGCTTTACTCAGCCTGTCTATAATGGAGTACTTCTCTATGGTTTAGGAATAAGTGGTTAAATGCTCGTAGCATTAAAGCCCCTACTTTTATAGCAGGTGATTGACTGACAACGAAGAAGAAAAGAATGATTGTCAAGGGAAGTAGACCAAGAAGGATGAGGATGATGATGGCAAGTGTGGCCAGAGTGGCATGGCCTCCATCTTTGAAACACACTACCTCCCCATCCAGAAACCATCTCTGGAGGACAGGGACACAAAATAGTCATAGCTAGAAGTGCTGATAGCTACAGTGGAACCTCCGAACAAGGGACAGCATGAAACCAATGATTTTGTCCCTTTAGAGAGACCGTCCCTATATTGCGAGGTCAAAAAACATGCTAAAGTATGGAGATGAAGCAAGTGTCCCTTGTAGAGACGTTGTCCCTATCTTGGGATGGGTCCCTTATCAGAGGTTCCACTGTATTATTATGAAAAAGATATTGTGAATGGCTAACTAACAGGCGTTGGTTCCCCTCCTCTGCAGGCGGTATTGAAGGGCAGTGGAGGAGAGAGACACAGGTGTACACCAGATGAGCATACAGCAGCAGGATAAAGGCCCACACTCCACGCCAGATACGCTTCTGCGCTCTAAAACATGAAATGGTAGAAATACATCTTGCAAGGGAACACAAGTGTGACAAAAATAAATCTGAGACAACTATGTAGGCTCAATTTGCTTGTCAATAATAGCTAAACAACTGAGAAAAATGAAGTAAGAGAGTGCGTGGGAAACCAGTTACCTTTCTCGAAGCAGTAGAACACGGTGATGACAGCAGCAAACAGTTGACCAGTAGGGCAATGACAGGAGGAACACAACGAGGGGGGAAGGAAGCGAGAGCAGTGGTGCCAGAAGCGAGACATACATCCCAGGGAAAATAGAGTCCCAGAGCACTGCCTAGATACAGCATCTGGAAGTATCATGGATAAGGTATAAGTTAATGACACCCAGGACCACACGTTTAAAAACAGTTTTGCTGTTTTGGTCGAGCTATATATTGTTCCCCCTTTCCGAGAATATAACATGATGGAAAGACAAACTCAATAACTCTGTTTATGGCAATAGATACACATATAACTTCTTTACGGGAGGTTCCATGTCAAGCCAGGGGTTACTCTGCTTACATATTGTCTGATGGGCCAGAACGAGGCTGAAAGTATTCTGTTGTGTAGTAGGACACGTCTGTGGAAAATGGAGAAAGTACAAGTCAGCGACTAGCTACACCTGAAAGGACATTTGGTTTTACCTGGATGTATGAAGAGAAAGCCTTTCATTGAGTCGGGAAAGGTGAAGCGGAGTTTGACCAGGGCTATGAGTATCACCGCACAGATCAGAGTGTCTCCTATCACTGTTTGAGTGACAAAAGAACAATTTGAAGCATCTATGTAGCTCATTTATTGTTAGTATCATTGCTATTACCTAGGAAGCCAAGTGCCCAGTAGGCATTTGAGCCACAGTGTCTGCAGTTAATCTCAATACTCCCACACTGCTCTCATTAACACAACGACCACAGAGAGTCCCTGTATAAAAAACCAATTAACAGCAATACTGATCGCAGTTTATTGCATTTTTGACTCCAAACTGAATCGTGTTGCTACAATACCTACACTAGAAAAATTCAACACATTTTGGCAAGCAATGTCAGAGCTAGTAACATGTATGTGGCACGTATACATGATAGCAAAATTGCTTTACGCATAAATTTATTGCACAACAATGGTGATGACATCAGAAAGGAGATATAATTACCTTCTCTGAGGATGTGGCATTGTTTATCAGTATTGGCATCGTCGTGGTAATAGAGGCTGTCGCATGTGATGTTATTCTCATCAGAGCACTGGCAGAAGGGGGTGGGACAGACATGAACCAGCAGCTGGGAGTCTTCGTTGGGTGCTGCCCACAGTCCCATTCTGAGTAGAAGGATACATGGTAGTTGCATGGAATTGTCTTTTGGAAAAATTGACTTATGCAAGCACAAAAAGGGAATAAGAAAATGGGCTTCTGTCAGGAGTTGAACTCGGCAATGGTGACTGAAAGTCCGGTGCACTCAACTACAACTTGTGTCTTTTTCTTCTTATATGCATAGCTATAATTATAGCTACATAGTGTAAAGTAACTGATAACATACCCTGAGGTAGATGATGTTCCTGGTCTCATCGCAGTCCAGGAGTGAGAAGGTGAAGTCCTGACAGCCACAGGTGAGCAGGCCGTCATCACGAGCCTGCAACTCATAGCCGGGAGACAGCTTGCAACATCCAGTCCAAATGAGAACTGCTTCGACTGGTGATGAGAATACTTATGAAAGGGACAATGTTTTTACACTGTAGTTAACATCCTGATGCACAGGTATCTGGTGAAGAAAGCTATCTAGTGAAGAAGGCTACAATAACTACTACCTGCTTGCAAACTGGCTAGGGGCAGACCAAACACACCGTGTGTCCACCATAATAGGTCCTTCATTAAAACACCTCAAGCGTAGTCAAAGTAAGGTCGCTTTTAGCTATCAATCAAGAAGAACAGATGTTGTGAGCTATCAAAGCAGTGGGAGTCGCTAAGACTAAGCAAATGGCAGGCCCAAATACTAGATAGCTATATAATATGGTGTAAAAACTACATCAATGACATGTAAGGGTGTCGACGATGGCAGTGATGTTCTGCGTGGTCCACTGGGAGGAGACTGGTGTGTGGGTAGACCACCTCCACTGATGGGTTGTTGGGCAGAACCGGCACCAGGGAAGGCTCAAACACCACAGGTTCACCTTCGTCATCCTATGAAATGAAGAATGTCAGCATTTAAAATAGCGGTTTCAAGGTAAAAAGCGTCTGGGATTTGAGAATGAAAACCTTCGAGTCCTACTGTGCACTTTTCCATCCCTCAAAAGATGATGGAAAAAACTGTTATGATTTACCCTCAACCGTGAATGTTTCTCCTTTGAAACTTTGCTGTAAGTGCTTACATTGCTGGTGAAAGAGATCTCGTTGTCAGTGGTCTGGCTAAATGCTCCCTGGTTGACCTTGGCTCGTCTGTCTGAGATACGAGCTATGATGTAGGTAGACAAGTTGAACTGGTCCAGTCCCTTCAGACTCAGCCGAATCTTTTTCCCTGGGAATGCTCCCTCCTTAACAAGGGATATATACAGAGATAACACCTTTTTCACTGTTGGTGCTGGATATCAAGATAACTCAGAACATAATATGAGAAGACCTTGGGTAATCAGGACTATATACAAAGTTGTATAGTTTTGCAATTGTGTCCACACTTCTTACATTTCCTGTGGTAGTACTGCTTTCAGATGCAACCCTTAGAGCTTGTGTCTGGAAGTAGAACTCTGGAGATGTCCCATTAATGTGTGATGTTGCATTATTGCTACCAGCAGAGCTGTTGTGCAAGAACAACGAATAATAAACGATTGACTACAGTATAGATGGTGCTCACTAGTTGAAGACTGGCCATTGAGTGAAGTCAGTGGTGGAGAATGTAGAGGCTATGTGGTTGGAGACATTGGAGACAGAGAACCAGGAGCAGAGGTCTAGGTGAGAGGTGTACACCACAGGAGCCACTGCCGCTCTGTTCCCAGAGAATCTCATAGTCACCTGCACAAACAGCAGCGAAAGCTTGCTACAGATGCACTTCTCTTGTATTTAGCTGTAGTATAATATTATTGAATTGTAATCCTTCTGGGAGTTATCATTATCGTCATCTGGAAGTAGCATTTAACTGTTGTTGTAAGACTACCTACACACTTATTAACATACCATGAACTCTATGAATATAATTCACAATGGTCATGTGGTCTCAACACAATACCGGCAACATATATAGTATGACAGGGTCAGACCTACCTGGTCCCAGCTGTCGGGAGCTACAGTAGTATCTTCAAAGATTAGGAAGCACTGTGTGTTGAAAATGAGCTGTGAGAAAACTCGTGATGTCCTTTGCACATCCACCACTATAGCTGACCCCAGTCTAATACATGATGAATCAATAGTATGTATAACTATTATACTTTGATACCTTCCCAAGTTCTCCAAAAAGTCTATGTGTGAGCCGCGGTAGAGCTTGACCTGACCAAAGGCAGAGAGATAGAGAGCCCCACCCTCGTGGCTCTCTGCATTGTTCCCAATGAAGGAAATGGTTCCATACACTGCTATCTGTGCTCCCACACTCTGTACATGAATGAATAAGGATCACTTTTGTATGTATCTAGTTGTATGTAGTTTAAAGCATATACCCTTAGCCCTGCGCCGGTGTTGTTCAGGAACTGGTTATGTCCTGTGAAGTTCTGAGGTATAAAACCAACGGCGAATGTCCCACCAGGTGATGAGTTGTTGAAAAACATACTGAGAGGAGGTAAAACAAATGGATATGGGCTTCTGCAGTGAAATCGCTTTGGCTAGCTCTTACTTGTCTGACACCTGGTAGTAGTTTGATGATAGCCGGTTCTGCACATACAGCAGAGATGCAAACATGACACCACTTCCTACGTTAATAGCCGTGTTCCTCTCAAAGTAAGACTCCCTCAGTGTGATACTGTTCCCTGATCCCTGACTGAACACCTGAACACCGATTACACCGCTGAGTCCTCCACCAAACCACGCAGTGTTACCAACAAAGCGGCAGCGTGAAAACTCCAGTTGGCTCGGTCCATGTCGTGCGTTTCGAATCAAGAATCCCGCTTGTATCCCTCCCCCAAAGCCTCCCTCGTCAGCCATGTTGGACGTGAAGTTTGAGTCGGTTACCGTGAAATTGTGTGAAGTGCTGACTCCATCGATGTTTATGTACAGCCCACCACCAAAGGATTCTGCATAATTGGACTCAAACCTACACCTCTCTATCATTACAACTATGTTGACAAAGTGTTCGTCCAGGAACACCCCGAATCCCCCACCACGACCGAAATAGATGTGATTGTTGATTGCCTGGTTTGTTTGCTGCTGAGAGTTAGCCTCGGGGAGGCTGGCTCTGTTATGAGTGAACTCACAGTCAGTGACAGTTACTGATGGAGGTAGGGAGGTGTTGAAGTATACAGTAGCATTGGTGTGGTATGCAATCCCAAGACCTCCAGAGTTGGCATGATACTCTTCCTTCTGGAGCATGGCCGAGTTGTCGAAGAAGACAGAGTCCTCGACTTGTACTGTCTGGCAGTTGAAGATATCCACAGCCGAGGCTGTGAACCCACTGCATGAAGAATAGAAGAAATAATTAGCACCATACAGCACAACCTCTGCACAAGTTAGCTAGCTAACTGACGTGAAAATGCAGTTTGATATTCCGACGTAATCCATGGTGTCGAATATCAATGGTCTTGGACAATTCTTAAACTTTACTCCCTTCATCTGCACAAACAGCTCTTCAGTAGTACTAGCAGATGATGAAGATGAATAGGAAGAGAGCCTCTGGAACCACAGTGGGTTATTGAGAATGAGCATCTCGTCCGCTGGCAGGCAAGAAACGGTTGCCTCCGTTTCCACCGCCTCCAATACCAGGCTGTATGTGATGTCAGTTGCGTTGATGCTATCAAGAGTGTAGTTACCAGGTGACAGTTTGACTTCAAGGCAGTCATTAGCTGCTACAAGACCATCGTTGTACTTTCTGCAGATGGTCCGACAGTTGCTTACAATCGCCGGCGATGTTGTCTCCATCGACGTACGTGCAATTTCCCGACTCACTGAGCGTGATAGAAGTGGAGCAGTTTCGTTCTAGTAAGGAAGCAGACGAGGCTGCAATCACAACCTCACAAGTAACGAGGAAAAGCAACAGAGTCCCCTTGTCTTTCTTCATGGCTAGGACGAGCCTATACGAGCTCCTCCCACTTTCTTGATAAACATTACGTAATTGCCGACCGACCTATTTCTGGCTCTGTGAGACTCGTCCTTGGAGGAGACATGCAGGCTCTCGTCCTACTGATAGCAGTGGCCTCTCTCCTTCCACCCATTACCAGTCAGACTTGTAAATTACTAGAGCAATCGCTGGATCCATTGCAGAAGGGACCGGATGATGTCACTGTGAGGAGGGTGGAGCTGAACGGAACAGACAACGCGAGCTGCCTCAACGCCAACAGAGAGCAAGACTCACCACCGTGTCGTACCATAGAGTTTGCCCTTCAGCCGACGTTAAACGTGGAGGTATACCTTGCTAAACAGATCAGTTCAATCACTGACCAGCTACTATAGCTATTATGCCAGAACACATTGCTAGCTACGTATAGGTAGCTAGCTAGCTATACGGTGATACCTCTAAATAAGGGACACCTTGGGGACATTCAAACTGTCCTTTATTTAGAAGTCTCGTTTATTTGGAGGTCGTATAACATACTACTTATAAGTGTCCTTTACTCAGAGGTTCCTTTTTGAAGGTTTCGCTGTAGCTACTGGCATTTTTTTAATCCACAGAACCGATCAGTGACAGAGAACCTGACCATATACGTTGGAGCAGGGGATTTACAGGCCTGCCAGCGAGCATGCTATAGGCATAATTGACTCTAGGAACATTCAACTCATTGGGGCTGGAGTAGGCCAGACTGAGTTTTGGTGTGGGTTGTATGGAGAGGAAGATACTCATTCCAGAGACCAAAATCAGACATGAATGTGGCCTCGGGATGTCCACAGTTTGCCAAACTTTCCATCCTAGATGAAGGAAATTACGCCAAAAACGACGTATTGTTTCTGAAGTGATTGCTCATTCGTCTTTAGTTCATATGTAAATTTTTCCTTTGTAGCTATCCAGTATTATGATTCATAATACTAGATAGCTAATAGGCTAATTGTGCTTTTATGGATTAATTTTCACAACAGACCTAGGCAGCGATTATGCAATAGACACCTAGGGAGTGATTTGTGCAATAGACAGCCACTTCTCCCCCTCTGGGGGTGGTATATACTCTTCTACAGAGAGGGGCTGGCACTGAGACTAGTTTCCAATCCGCGCGGGTTGATTACCCGGAGGACCGCCCTGTTACAGCTTTTCAAAAGCGTGGGGACTAGGAGTGGGCGCTACGGTACTGATCTGGGGAAAACCATGGGGAAAACCGAGGGGAACTCCGCGGCGCGCGGCCCTTTTTTGAGGAGCAATTAGAGCTAGATACTTTTATACCTACCTGCTAAGGGTAGCTGCAAGATGACTATAGGTGAAGGCATCACGGCTGAAGCACTCCTAGCCCTAGTGGACAGATGTTCCATCTTGCTGCGTTAGTGAGTAGGCTTTGTGAACAAGTTGATAAACTGGTTGAAGATAGCGTAGATAGGTTGACCTCGTTCCAGAATGACAAGATCGAGTATGATTACAAAGCTCGGGCTGCAATTGATGAAGTTCGGGATACTGCCAGGGAAGGTTCTAATTTTCTTGCCAAAGTCGAAGACCTGCAGTATTACGCGAGGAAAATGAATCAGGCAACACGGTCTGGCGACAAAAGGCAACTTAAGGAACTGTTTCAGTTAGTCCGAAATTGCGTGGCGAATGCCGAAGAGCAATACGCTATATTTGATGAAGCTTGTAAAAAAAGCACCGAAACGTGTATGGGTGCTGCTAAAAAGTGCAGACAAGAAAATGGAAGGGGAAAATATTTATATCCCGTTTTAGGGGCTATAGGTGGCGGTGCACTTGTTGGAGTTGGAGTTTATACATTTGGTATTGGTACACTGGTTGGCTTTTTACTAATAACTGCTGGAGCAGCAGTAGGAGGGTATTTGACTCACCATCTTATGACAAAAGAAGATTCGCATAAATCATTTATCGATTTAGCTGCCACTTTTGATGAAATGTACGATACTACTAAGAAAATCAGAGAAGAGGTTAACAGAGTAAGTGCTGAAATGAAGCGGGTTGAAGACTCTGTACGCGATTTCGAATTTTCTGAGGGGAAGAATCATTCAGCCGAAACTCTGAGTTACATTACTGATCGCATGGAAGAAAAGCTCAGAGACTCTGAAACAACTTTAAGCAGAGAACGGCTAAAGAAAATGCTGTAGCCACTGGCATTGATGTGAAACATTTCTGGTAGATGCTAATGTAGTATGCAGTTGGCATTTTTAGTTTTACCACTGTTACGAAACTTTTACCCCATTGTTTTACTACACAAATAAGTTGGGGGCGTTGCGCGAACCACGAGACCCCACGCACAACTGTCTGTAAGGGAACCAGGTGTGTATGGGGGGTGTATGAGACCACCGCTAATAAGTGTGATACATGTTTTGCACCATTAACTTAGCATGCTTGGGGATATTGTGTATGTGCATGTTCATGTGTTATCAGTCCCACCCATTGGGCACTGGGTGAAAGGTCAATTACCAAAGTGCAACCTTCATCATACCCGAGCGTGGAGAACTCCTAGCAACAACTCACTCAGGTTCACACATAACCCGAGTGTGGAGAAACTCCCATATTAAAAACATTACTGCTAATAGATAGAAACATCGGTAGTTGGAATATTTTTAGTCTTTCTGTCTCTGTACTTGTTGTAATAACCACTTCCGCCATCATAAACACTGGAATGAGTCTTGAATCTCTTCTTTTGTCTACTCTTACGAAGATATCTGTGAAAATAGGAATTGGTTAATGTTTACGTCACTGTGTCCAGACGATCGCAAAATATTGTGTATTTCAGTTTTAAAACTGTTAGCTACACCACACCACAGCTATGGGTAGTGTTGACACTGCGCAATTAGACCCCTCTAAAAGCTATATATTCGTGGATGGTTGAACAGCTTGGAGCTAATACTACCATAGTAACAGCTTACATGACAAGAGATCTGATACTGAGGGTCGTAGCAGTGGCGGCAGCCAAGACCAGAGGCCAGTAGTACCAGAAAGAGAGGAGAGCAGCCAGTCTGTCTCCCTTCACCAGTCCCCCACCACGAGACTCTGGTATAGCAGTGCCAGAGTAGGAGGATAGGTCGTCCAGGATGGCCTGTGTGGAGGCCAGGAGGTGGAGGAGACAGTAGTTGGCCAGGATGACCGTCTCGAGGAGGTTCTGCCACCACCTCTGGTAGGGCCACCAGTAGAGATGGAGACCCAGGGCTGGCACCACCACATAGAGGGCTGAAACCTGTGGTATCGCACAGTCATTTGATAATAATGTACACAACATGCGTAATAACCAATGAAACAAAAAGCGCTTCCATCCAAATAAGTGCTTATAGGCACAGAGCCTGTAATACCATATATTTAGTTTAGTGTCAGTTAAAATGTGTGTAAGCTTTTAAGAGGTTAAATGTAAAATGGTTACTTACTGATCTTCCAGGGGTACCAACCACGACAGCAATGAGGATGAGTCTGCGTAAGAGATCCCAGGCACCCCACCATCTTTGTCCTCTCTGTGTAGCCTGCCTTTACTGCTTTACTCAGCCTGTCTATAATGGAGTACTTCTCCTATGGTTTAGGAATAAGTGGTTAAAATGCCCGAGGTGGCATTAAAGCCCTACTTTTATAGCAGGTGATTGACTGACAACGAAGAAGAAAAGAATGATTGTCAAGGGAAGTAGACCAAGAAGGATGAGGATGATGATGGCAAGTGTGGCCAGAGTGGCATGGCCTCCATCTTTGAAACACACTACCTCCCCATCCAGAAACCATCTCTGGAGGACAGGGACACAAAATAGTCATAGCTAGAAGTGCTGATAGCTACAGTGGAACCTCTGAACAAGGGACAGCATGAAACCAATGATTTTGTCCCTCTAGAGAGGCCGTCCCTATATTGCGAGGTCAAAAAACATGCTAAAGTATGGAGATGAAGCAAGTGTCCCTTGTAGAGACGTTGTCCCTATCTTGGGAGGTCCCTTATCAGAGGTTCCACTGTATTAATTATGAAACAGATATTGTGAATGGCTAACTAACAAGCGTTGGTTCCCCTCCCTCTGCAGGTGGTATTGAAGGGCAGTGGAGGAGAGAGACACAGGTGTACACCAGTGGAGCATACAGCAGCAGGATAAAGGCCCACACTCCACGCCAGATACGCTTCTGCGCCCTAAAACATGAAATACATCTTGCAAGGGAACACAACACAAGTGTGACAAAAATAAATCTGAGACAACTTCGTAGGCTCATTTTGCTTGTCAATAATAGCTAAACAACTGAGACAAATGAAGTAAGAGAGTGCATGGGAAACCAGTTACCTTTTCTCAAAGCAGTAGAACACGGTGATAACAGCAGAAATAGTTACCAGTAGGGCAATGACAGGAGGAACAAAACGAGGGGGGAAGGAAGCGAGAGCAGTGGTGCCAGAAGCGAGACATACATCCCAGGGGAAGTAGAGTCCCAGAGCACTGCCTAGATACAGCATCTGGAAGTATCATAGATAAGGTAAATGACACCCAGGACCACACGTTTTAAAAACAGCTTTGCTGTTTTGGTCGAGCTAAATTGTTCCCCCTTTCCGAGAATTTAATAATGATGGAAAGACAAACTCGAGACTCTGTTTATGTCAATAAATATACATATAACTTCTTTAAGGGAGGTTCCATGTCAAGCCAAGGGTTACTCTGCTTACATATTGTCTGATGGGCCAGAACGAGGCTGGAAAGTATTCTGTTGTGAAATAGACCGTCTGTGGAAAAATGGAGAAAGTACAAGTCAGCGCTAGCTACACCTGAAAGGACGTTTGGTTTTACCTGGATGTAGAAGAGAAAGCCTTTCATTGAATGGGGGAAGGTGTAGCGGAGTTTTACCAGGGCTATGAGTATCACCACACAGATCAGAGTGTCTCCTATCACTGTTTGAGTGACAAAAGAACAATTCGAAGCATCTATGTAGCTCTAGATCATAGCTAATTACCTAGGAAGCCAAGTGCCCAGTACGCATTTGAGCCACATTGTCTGCAGTTGAATCTCAATACTCCAACACTGCTCTCATTAACACACCGACCACATAGAGTCCCTGTAATCAAACACCAATTAATAACGATCACCGTTTATTGCATTTTTGACTCCAAACTGAATCAGTGTTGCTACAATACCTACACTAGAAAAAATTCAACACATTTTGGCAAGCAAATGTGAGAGCTATGTATGCGGCGCGTATACACGATAGCAAAATTTCTTTAAGCATAACTTTATTGCATATGGTGACGGCATCAGAAAGGACATATTATATTTTCCATTCAGATGACTAGGTGGACAACTAATAATTACCTTCTCTGAGGGTGTGGCATTGTTTATCAGTATTCGCATCGTCGTGGTAATAGAGGCTGTCGCATGTGATGTTATTCTCATCAGAGCACTGGCAGAAGGGGGTGGGACAGACATGAACCAGCAGCTGGGAGTCTTCATTGGGTGCTGCCCACAGTCCATTCTGAGTAGAAGGATACATGGTAGTTGCATGGGATTGTCTTTTGGCTTATGCAAGCACTAAAAAGGAATAATGGCCTTCTGTCAGGAGTTTCTGTCAATAGTGACTGAAAATCCGGTGCACTAAGCCCTCAGCTACAACCTCCAGCCCAATCGGCTCCTTTCTATATACCTCACGAAGTAGCTAGCTTCTGATTAGTGACAAAGGAACCAAGTTTCATGATGACATTTACACACACAAAATATTTCCAGCAGTTAGCTCTGTGAGATTGACGAAATTGCACTGAGTGATGCAAGTGTGTCTTATTTCTCTTATCTGTGTAGCTAGCTAGCTATACATAGAGTGATAACAATACCCGGAGGTAGATGATGTTCCTGGTCTCATCGCAGTCCAGGAGTGAGAAGGTGAAGTCCTGACAGCCACAGGTGAGCAGGCCGTCGTCACGAGCCTGCAACTCATAGCCTGGGAGACAGCTCGCAACATCCAGCCCAAATGAGAACTGCTTCGACTGGTGATGAAAACAAAAGTGACTATGTTTTGCTAGCATCCGAACCCACATAAATAATTCAAAGCTAAGGATATCTGGTGAAAGGGGCACTTGCTTACACACTACATATATACTTGGGTATAAACACCCCAGCCATGTAAAGGCCAGTTTTACAAGAAGGAAGGATGACTCTGAGCAATAAAAGATTGGTAGGAACTAAAACGTTGGGTCCAGTTACCAAACAGTCACTGTGTAATATATGAGTTTTAAACTTACATCAATAACATTGTAAGGGGTGTCAATGATGGCAGTGATGTTCTGCGTGGTCCACTGGGAGGAGACTGGTGTGTGGTAGACCACCTCCACTGATGGGTTGTTGGGCAAAACTGGCACCAGGGAAGGCTCAAACACCACAGATTCACCTTCGTCATCCTATGAAATGAAGAATGTCAGCGTGTAAAGGTATAATAGCGGTTTCAAGGTAAAAAAGCGTCTGGGATTTGAGAATGAAAACCTTCGAGTCCTACTGTGCACTTTTCCATCCCTCAAAAGATCATGGAAAAAACTGTTATGCTTTACCCTCAACCGTGAATGTTTCTCCTTTGTAACTTTACTGTAAGTGCTTACATTGCTGGTGAAAGAGATCTCGTTGTCAGTGGTCTGGCTAAATGCTCCCTGGTTGACCTTGGCTCGTCTGTCTGAGATACGAGCTATGATGTAGGTAGACAAGTTGAACTGGTCCAGTCCCTTCAGACTCAGCCGAATCTTTTTCCCTGGGAATACTCCCTCCTGAATAGTAAGAGGGATATTTTTATACAGAGATGACACCTTTTTCATTGTATGTGCTGGATATCAAGAGGACTCAGAACGTAATATGAGAAGACGCGAGAGACTAACTCTATAACCCATCTGTTGTATATACATTTGAACCTCGGATAATCAATCTGCCAGGTCAACTGATAGTGTTTTGCAATTGGCTTCTTACATTAATTCCTGTGGTAGTACTGCTTTGAGATGCAACCCTTAGAGCTTGTGTCTGGAAGTAGAACTCTGGAGATGTCCCATTAATGTGTGAGGTCGCATTATTGCTACCAGTGGAGCTGTTGTGCAAGAACAACGAATAATAAACGATTGACTACAGTATAGATGGTGCTCACTAGTTGAAGACTGGCCATTGAGTGAAGTCAGTGGTGGAGAATGTAGAGGCTATGTGGTTGGAGACATTGGAGACAGAGAACCAGGAGCAGAGGTCCAGGTGAGAGGTGTACACCACAGGAGCCACTGCCGCTCTGTTCCCAGAGAATCTCATAGTCACCTGCACAAACAGCAGCGAAAGCTTGCTACAGATGCACTTCTCTTGTATTTAGCTACTACAGTGGTATAATATTATTGAAAGTACTATAATTGTAATCCTTCTGGGAGTTATCATTATCATCATCTGGAAGTAGGATTTAACTGTTGTTGTAAGACTACCTACACACTTATTAACATACCATGAACTCTATGAATATAATTCACAATGGTCATGTGGTATCAACACAATACCGTCAACATATATAGTATGACCCTATATACCTGGTCCCAGCTGTCTGGGAGCTACAGTAGTATCTTCAAAGATTAGGAAGCACTGTGTGTTGAAAATGAGCTGTGAGAAAACTCGTGATGTCCTTTGCACATCCACCACTATAGCTGACCCCAGTCTAATACATGATGAATCAATAGTATGGATAACTATTATACTTTGATACCTTCCCAAGTTCTCCAAAAAGTCTATGTGTGAGCCGCGGTAGAGCTTGACCTGACCAAAGGCAGAGAGATAGAGAGCCCCACCCTCGTGGCTCTCTGCATTGTTCCCAATGAAGGAAATGGTTCCATACACTGCTATCTGTGCTCCCACACTCTGTACATGAATGAATAAGGGTCACTTTTGTACGTATCTAGTTGTATGTAGTTTTATACCCTTAGCCCTGCGCCGGTGTTGTTCAGGAACTGGTTATGCCCTGTGAAGTTCTGAGGTATAAAACCGACGGCGAATGTCCCACCAGGTGATGAATTGTTGAAAAACACACTGAGAGGAAAACAAGTGGATATGGGCTTCTGCAATGAAATCTCTTTGGCTAGTTCTTACTTGTCTGACACTTTGTAGTAGTTTGATGATAGCCGGTTCTGCACATATAGCATTGATGCAAACATGACACCACTTCCTACGTTAATAGCCGTGTTCCTCTCAAAGTAAGACTCCCTCAGTGTGATAATGTTCCCTGATCCCTTACTGAACACCTGAACACTGCTGAGTCCTCCACCAAACCACGCAGTGTTACCAACAAAGCGGCAGTGTGAAAACTCCAGCTGGCTCGGTCCATGACGTGTGTTTCGATTCAAGAATGCCACTTGTATCCCTCCCCCAAAGCTTCCCTCGTCCGCCATGTTGGACGTGAAGTTTGAGTCGGATACCGTGAAATTGTGAGAAGTACTGGCCCCATCGATGTATATGTATAACCCCCCACCAAAAGATTCTGCATAATTGGACTCAAACCTACACCTCTCTATCGTTACAACTATGTTGACAAAGTATTCGTCCAGGAACACCCCGAATCCCCCACCACGACCGAAATAGATGTGATTGTTGAGTGCCTGGTTTATTTGCTGCTGAGAGCTAGCCTCGGGGAGGCTGACTCTGTTATGAGTGAACTCACAGTCAGTGACAGTTACTGATGGAGGTAGGGAGGTGTTGAAGTATGCAGTAGCATTGGTGTGGTATGCAATCCCGAGTCCTCCAGAGTTGGCGTGATACTGTTCCTTCTGGAGCATGGCCGAGTTTTTGAAGAAGACAGTGTCCTCGACTTGTACTGTCTGGCAGTTGAAGATATCCACAGCCGAGGCTGTGAACCCACTGCATGAAGAATAGAAGAAATAATTAACACCATACAGCACAACCTCTACACAAGTTAGCTAACTGACGTGAAAATGCAGTTTGATATTCCGACGTAATCCATGGTGTCGAATCTCAATGGTCTTGGACAATTCTGAAACTTCACTCCCTTCATCTGCACAAACAGCTCTTCAGTAGTACTAGCAGATGATGAAGATGAATAGGAAGAGAGCCTCTGGAACCACAGTGGGTTATTGAGAATGAGCATCTCGTCCGCTGGCAGGCAAGAAACGGTTGCCTCCGTTTCCACCGCCTCCAATACCAGGCTGTATGTGATGTCAGTTGCGCTGATGCTATCAAGAGTGTAGTTACCAGGTGACAGTTTGACTTCAAGGCAGTCATTAGCTGCTACAAGACCATCATTATACTTCTGCAGATGGTCCGACAGTTGCTTACAATCGCCGGCGATGTTGTCTCCATCGACGTGCGTGCAATTCCCCGACTCACTGAGCGTGATAGAAGTGGAGCAGTTTCGTTCTAGTAAGGAGGCAGACGAGGCTGCTATCACAACCTCACAAGTGACGAGGAAAAGCCACAGAGTCCCCTTGTCTTTCTTCATGGCTTGGACGAGCCTATACGAGCTCCTCCCACTTTCTTGTCGTTAAACATTACGTAATTGCCGACCGACCTATTTCTGGCTCTGTGAGACTCGTCCTTGGAGGAGACATGCAGGCTCTCATCCTACTGATAGCAGTGGCCTCTCTCCTTCCACCCATTACCAGTCAGACTTGTAAATTACTAGAGCAATCGCTGGATCCATTGCAGAAGGGACCGGATGATGTCACTGTGAGGAGGGTGGAGCTGAACGGAACAGACAACGCGAGCTGCCTCAACGCCAACAGAGAGCAAGACTCACCACCGTGTCGTACCATAGAGTTTGCCCTTCAGCCGACGTTAAACGTGGAGGTATACCTTGCTAAACAGATCAGTTCAATCACTGACCAGCTACTATAGCTATTATGCCAGAACACATTGCTAGCTACGTATAAGTAGCTAGCTAGCTATACGGTGATACCTCTGAATAAGGGACACCTTGGGGACATTCAAACTGTCCTTTATTCAGAAGTCTCGTTTATTTGGAGGTCGTATAACATACTACTTATAAGTGTCCTTTACTCAGAGGTTCCTTTTTGAAGGTTTCGCTGTAGCTACTGGCATTTTTTTTATCCACAGAACCGATCAGTGACAGAGAACCTGACCATATACGTTGGAGCAGGGATTTACAGGCCTGCCAACCAGGACGCTATAGGCATCATTGACTCTAGGAACGTTCAACTCATTGGGGCTGGAGTAGGCCAGACTGTGTTTTGGTGTGGGTTGTATGGAGAGGAAGATACTGCGTGCTCCTACATGAACTTCCAGATACGAAACTCCAAATACGTATATCTGAGTAACATGACGTTCACTCGCTGTGGACCCATCACTTCGGCCGTCTACATCTCCAGCTCCGATTATGTGGTCGTCAAAGATTGTCAATTCCGGTAGGTTTATGATCTAGCTTTCTCGCATCTGAGGGTCAGCGTAAAATATTGGTAACTTGCAACTTCCTCCATCCCTTGCTCAACGCATTAGGGTCAATATCACTCAACATTCCTTCCCCCCTCCACAAACTATGTACACACTTGCTATTTGTAGATTCACTCATACGTCAATGAGGTTATAGATTCTTCTATCTCTGCAGCGACAACATCTCCCCACCTCTCCTGGTCCACAACACGTCTCCCTTCGTCCTCTATCGGACCACCTTCACCAACAACCACCCCCAGGAACTCAATGAATCAGTCACTTCAGACACCTGCTACTCTTCTGGTGGAGTCGACAACTTTTTCCTCGACAATCGGACGTCGTCTGGCGGACTCTCGCAATACTCTGAGAATGGGCCAACTCTGTTGTACATTGAGCGGTGCGTTTTCGTGGATAATAATGCCAGACCTGATGACACGGTCTCTCTACCGAGGCAGTCGAAGGGATATGGACACGGTGCTGCAGCAAACATCAGGCTCTCCAACAGCTCAAATGGTATGCATTAACAACTCCATAGCCTGGTACTAACTGCTCTTACAACATACAATTTATAACCTTTTTGCCTTGACAAGCTAACTTGATTGAAGTTAAGTGTTTAGCTACCTCACATGGAGCTTTGTTCCAAACCTTTCTCCAGGTCAGGTGTGCATAAAGAGTTGTGAGTTTGAGGACAACCAAGCTGAGGCACAGGCTGGCGCTGTTGGGCTGACTGTGGGAGGACCCTCCACTAGAAACAACATTGAGCTACTCAACTGCACATTTTTCAACAACTCCTGTACTCTGGACAGGTGCACCGGTGGTGCCATTGGTATCGACTTCTTTGCTGACACCGCCTTCAACGAAATTCTGATTAAGGAGTCTGAATTCATTAGGAATAATGCCAGAGATGGAATGGGCGGGGCTATTTCGCTCTCAACCACAGTCAATGTGGTGACTAAAGATGGATTGTCAGACACACTTTTGTTGGAAGGATGCTTGTTTAGTCAGAACCAGGCATTTTACGATGGCACGGCTGTGGGTGTGTTTTCTCTTACTCACACCGACCAGGTTGGACTCCCTGTCAACATTACTGACTGGTGAGATAAGAAAACACATGGCTCTCTTACTCCTAAGCCTCTGCATGCCACAAGGCTAAACACAGCCGGGTTGTGTAACAAACTCTTTGTGTTATACAAGGTGGCGCATAGGGAGTTTGAGAAGCACCTTTGATTTGGTGCCACGAAATCGATTTGTGCAAGTGCTTGTAATGTTCTACCTGTCCTGCACCCATGCACATTGCATTTTGGCATGGGAGCTTTTGAAACTGAAGGTTCTATATACTCTATTTTATTTGCCTCTCACATTAATGCACACATGCACGCACTGAGCAGTCACTTCCTGAACAACAGTGCAACTCGAGGTAGTGCTGACAGTACAGCGCTAACTGCCTACAGAGTCCTCCTCACGTTCAATGGAAACTCATCTTTTGTGAACAACTTTGGAGGTGGGATGTCGCTCCTGGGATCTCGAATGGACGTCCAGGGAGAGGTCAACCTGGACAGAAACTTTGCTGTGTTTGGAGCCGGTATTGCCATGACTGGAAGGAGCCTGGTAAGAAATGGACTGGGAGTTGGGTGGACTACTAGCTCTCGCTAAGTTGTTGTATATTAGTGGTATAATATACAGAGACCAGACATTTGGAAATGTGAGGTTTATATGTATGCCTTATGTGGATGTCTGTGGCTCAATTTAACCGAGTTGCCTGGTTGACTTGCTAAGTTGTCAAATCTAGTCCTATGTATCCTCACATGATTATTAGTCACCACCACATGGTCGGCTTAACCACAACAGTAAACAATCTACCCATACTAATGGTGTACAAAAATGAATTTCATAAGACATTAATTATTATACTATGATTATCTATCCTAGTTGTTGGGACGTTATTCCGTATACTTTGTTTAGAGGCCAGTTAGTTGGCACGTATTTGCTAAACATACGTACACAGACCTTGGTCTATTCTTGCACCAAGTTCGTGAATGATCCTGAGTGATTCTGGATCACATTCCTCATTACATGGTGCATCACTTGTGACTACAGCATCCGGGTCTATAGCTTCAAGTTTATCAGAGATTGCTCCATAAAGGCACCTGGCAACAGTTAGTTGTCTGCGTAAAGTGGTCCAATTTTCCAGCCGTCCTCTCTTCTGAATGCTGAACGAACCACAACATAGCCTACTACAGACCAATCATTATTTCTGATGGCTACATAGGAAGGAATGGCAGTTTGGGGCAGAAATCCACCTTTGCAGTAAAGATGGGCGTTCGTAAATATGGACAGACATGTCGTACTTTAGCAGCTCACTAAACGGTGTATCTAGTGCTTCTTGTACGCTAACTCCAGACTGATTTAATTGTGGTTTCCCTAACTTTAGCGATCCCTGTGAGATTTTGAAAAGGAACCTTTTGTTGCACCAACCCTTTTATAACCAAATCGTTCATATCTAGATACCTGCTCCTCAAATTTCTCCACTGAAAAATTGCAGCTCTTTGGCAGAGTTGCAATCACTGTATTGAACAGGATTGAGCCATAGCCACAGTTTCGATGGAGCTCGTCGACAATGTAGTTTCCCAAGTAAGAATAGTTGGTTGAATACGTTATTGCAGAAATACAGCTTATGACCTTTTCGTTCAGCTCCCCCACAAAGAATCCTTGTTTGTATGTCTGAAAGGAAATAGCATGATCTAGAGTGCCTGGCTTCCCGCCTTGGGAAACCAATTTTGGAACAAAAACCTCTTGCACTTCATCCACTCTTCGCACAGTAAACTTGACAGATGACATTCTCCGGCAACAATCTTGAATATCCAGTGAACATACTTCTTTCAGGCGGCAGGCTGACTTCCGAAACACTAGTCTCATACACAGCACTATGAACAAGCTCTTATATAAAAGCAGCTAATTTTATGACTTTGGTCAGGTATACATATATATGCACTCTTTTTGAGTGACGGGACTCTCAACCACTTAATCTCTTTATTATGCTATCCATAACATAATGCTGTATGCAAACCCTGAAATGTGTTCCCTTGCCAAATGCTCATTTTAGACACATAGCATTGTCAGTGACATCATAACTTTTGCCAGGATTATGTGAGTGTGGACGTGTGCCAGAAAAGATCTTTGTGCATACATGTACAACTTTTTTACACATGTACTAGAATGTTCTAGAACAGCTAGCTAGTTGCTAGGTGTGCGAGGCGCTACACCAACTTTATATAACCACACAGGTTCTTCCAAGTTTTGATGTGCCAGGCACAACAAGAGTACAGCTGGGTTTATTTATGTGCACTGCTGTGTTTCCTTTGACAGCTGCTCCTGTTTGAAGGTGCGGTCCTCAGTTTCACTAATAATGTGGCAGTAGACGAGGGAGCTGGGCTGTATGTGGAGTACACATCCGCTGATTTTGTCCTGGCTATTCTAAATAGAGGCTGCTTCATACAGTACTTCAGTCAACTGATCGACGTTCCTCCTAATGAATGGGTCAGCTCTATTCTTTGCAAATGCGTAGTTTCTTTCACATGCTATGAACATGTTATAGGACAGATTTTCATGTTAGATATAATATGCACATTGCCCCCACTCCTAGATTTCCTATAGCATTCTGCAGCAGTACCCTTTTGATTCAGAGACACTAAGTCTATGGTCATCTTCACTCTAAACACACCGATGTTCACACAAAACAATACAGATACAGTCACTTGGAAGCTCTGTATAATATTATCTTGGGTCCTTTATAAGGGTAATTTGCCTCATTCCCATGCCCCCCCCCCTCTTGCACAATTATTAATTTTTCATCTGGGGTCAATGGTCATGACGCAAATGTTGTGCATGGAGAGATTGGGCCTGGGCACTACAGTTTATGGATTGAGGTGATCGAACTCTGCTGCATTATACATCATTTTGTATGTGTCGTTTCTATTGACAGAAAGCCACAGTTAGGTTTGTCAATAACAGTGCTGGCATAGCTGGGGCTGCGATATATGCAAACGATATGTCGAGGTGCAGATGGCTGGGCCCTACCAACTACACTACTTTTATTTTCAACACACCAAGTGACTATAAATCACCGTTCATTATGGAGTAAGACACAAGGATATGTGTAACTAGTTCCAAACCATGTGGTAATCTATTGCTGCTTTAGGAACAACACACTTGATCGTTCCAGCTCCAAAGATACTCGACTGGCAACTGATGCCTCTACTTTCTTTGCTACAACAGACGTATGTGTACTGTAGCTATACCAATCATCACACAAAATTTACTAACTCTACCTCTCTTGCATGGTGTTCATTTTGGAAAGTATGGAGATAGCCCCATGGTTGGATACGGGGAGACTGTGTCATTTCATCTAAACTCGACTGACCAGTTCAGCAACTTCAGGGAATCAGTATGGACCTTTAAGACTGCGTATCAAGACCAGGTATCCCTGCAGCGTCTGAGCACTATGCACATGGCATTGATTTTCTTTCGTTTCTGTGGTCGTAATCTGTAGAGTTTGGGTGCTCTTTCCACCAATGAGACTGTGTTTGAGTACGTGGTGCCTGGAAGGGGAGACAGAGACAGTGTCAACATCTCCGCAAACTTCTCTCTTATCGGAGGACAGGTGCACATACACTATACGACGCTTAGAGTCAATTGGTTATAGCTACATAACTGCTCTTAATCAATCTGCACGTCACGAATGGTTCAAAGTTGATATTCTTATCATCATACTCCCTCTCTTTCTTCCTCACAGACCTCAGTTTCGAGTGTACTGCTCCAGGTCCAGGGCTGTCATCCGGGCTATATGTTGCAAGAGAAGACGCAGACCTGTGTCTGTGATTTCAGCAGCAGTATCATTGTCCAGTGTGATACTGCTAACAGATACTTTTATGCCAGGGTAAGCACTTCAATACATCATTGGTTACGACGTGGTTTTTATCTGCTAGCGTCACCTTGGGGCAATTGACATCCCAAAATACTGTAGTGTACTGAACTTGCTGGGGGAGAAAACTTTGCAAGAGGAGTCCTGGTGCCACTCACTCTGAAACATTTCAAATCTCCATCAAAATTCCCTTATAGCATGCACTGATTTTTGTGTCTGTTCTCCAGGATGGATACTGGGTTGGTGTGAAGTCCAAATCCTCGGCTCTCATATACTCCACAACTGTGCCGGGTTTTCTCAACTGCACACGGCAGGGAGCCCTCCCCGGCTGTGAGATAAGATATGACAGCCTCGAGGATCAGTGTGCTCAGGGGAGGCAGGGTCAGTTGATAGCTATATGTACCGTACACTGGGAAACTTGGAGATTTCGTAGAATTTTGTAGAGAAAACGTTCTCATTGCCTTGTTCTGCCATACAAATGATGCCATCCATCAAACTCAGTTGGCACTCAATCCACGAAAGGTCAATAGTTAGCAAATGGTTGAAAAAACGGAGCTCTTAATAATTAATAAGTGTTCATTGCCTGTAACTGTTAGGAACACTGTGTGGTGATTGCAAAGAGGGTTATGGAGTCACTTTTGACCTTCGTTTCTGCCGTCGTTGTGGTGCTGGAGGGATTGTTCTCTTTGTCTTCATTTGTAAGTGTGAGCACATCACATTCTCCACAAAATACTGGGAACATCCCATTTCTAAATGGGGCAAGTAAGTATATACAAGGTTACCAGACACTTTTCATGCAGGTATAATGACGGTTATAGTATCTCTACTGATTCTATTCTACAATCTCCCTCTACCCGATGAGCTGAAGGGGTTTGTCTTCTTTGCTCAAGTGATTGGTCTTATCTACCGCAATGCCCCCTACCTTGTGGGTCAGAATGATAGTGTGAGTCATCTGATAATGGTTACCAAGAAGTTGCTCTGCATAGTTTAATGAAACCATCAATTTTACCACCACAGAATGCTCTTTTTGATACACTGGGTTTCTCACTACCGTTCCAACTTTGCCCAGCTGAGAACATTCCCGCTTTTGGCATAGCTCTGCTGGGATTTGTTCCACCTCTCCTCGCCACCTCTGTTGCCATCATCTATATATTCTTGTGAGGGTTTAATGTTCTTCACCAATTCAACAATAACTTTGAAGGATTACTATATGCATAATATTACTTTGGCGAGCAAATGAATGTACGCAACTATACAAGACAGTAACCAATGCAGCTTGACCTAAAATGCTCTATGTGATGTTCGTCCTTGCTCATTATCTGAGTGCGACAATCTAGGGTTATTGTTTCCTAATAGTGCAAAGAGGTCCAAGTACCTGAGTGAGAGGCAGTCTTTCAACGGCTTCCACTTTCTCTATGTGTTTGTGTACAAATACTTCCTCGATACATCCTTCATCTTCATCAGCTGCACACTTTTGGGAGATAACTATGTGAGTAAGAAATCACCATCCACCAAACACAACTTGATTAACCTCAAAGTAAAACCAGGCGATTGTCATTTTTTTGAAGAGTGCGGACACATGGGCCAGTAAAATCTATGTAGATATGTAACTGTATGCTCTCTCTCAGTTGTGAAAGTAATATTACCCAGGTGCTCTATACTGACCGTTTAGGCCCACATGTATAATACTGAAAAGCCATGTCTAATTTTGGCGTACAGAGTCACATATTAGAGAGTCGGTAGACTCTCTATATAGGGATGACACGGGTGAAATCTCACGTGATCCGCGTACAAAACGACTAAAATCGGTGAGAATCACTCCCTAGGCCTCAAACATACTAGCAATAGTCTACGGGCCCATATCTACCTATACATGTCCCCCAAGACCTCATACGCACCTCCAGTCGTCCACGGGGAGAATTCGCTCATACGCGATTTCACGATTTCGGTCATCATATTCTTCATCTTCTTCTTCTTCTTCTTTAAAACCCGCTATCTCCTTACCAGTACCAGTTCAAGCACTGATTTTTTTACGAAGGTCTCCAATTCGCCGGAGGTGTGGACGGACATCAAGCGATCGTTTCTTTCTTGCGCTAGTCACTACGGTAGATCATGGAGCTCTTCCTTGGTCGACACTGAACAACACCATTTGCTGCTTACTCAGCATCGGTGAGCCTCGCGCATGCGCGAGGCAGGGGCGTTGTCCAATGCGCTTGCGAGCGTATTACCAGGCGAGTTGGCAGACCTGCAGAGAAACTCTCAACCTCCAGTACCTTCTGTAAGTAAGTGTGCACATTTCCAACTGGCTAGCTTGCTGTTGATTTGCACAAAGAGCAACTTGCCAGAGTCTACGCTGTGTTACGCGAGCCTCGCGGGGCACTCAGTCAAACGGGCCTTCATTGTTGGTCCCCCCAGGTTGTAGCCTGATTACCAAAGCTGCCCATGAAACCACAACCATGTGCAATAATCTAATTACATCCTTGTTGAAGACAATACATGAGTGTGACATGCGTATCTAGCCCCTGCTCAGGCACAATTATGCTACTACTTTCAACGTTACAATTTGGTCTATGGTAGCCTATCTACAACATACCCATGACATCAGAGTGACTATAACAATAAATGTAGTGTTGTCATAGCTGTTAAAAAATAGTGGAAACAAGTGGAAATCATTTCTTCAAATGAAAGGGGATATATGGGATGGGTTGAAGCACCAAAAGGAAGAAACAAGGGGTCATTACACAGCAAAGTTGCACAAAGCTACATGACACCATCCCTATATCTTTGTTTTATTGTTTAAAGCAGTTTAACCCTTTGGACACCATGGGTATCTCCTTAAATAAGCAGAAATTGATGTATATATATTAACGCCTAGTATATAGACATAATAATACATTCTTATGGACTTATGGAGGCTCTGGGCATATACATGCCCGTGGCTTGCTAAGGGTTAATATCGAACAAAGATATAGGGATGGTGTCATGTAGCTTTGTGCAACTTTGCTGTGTAATGACCCCTTGTTTCTTCCTTTTTGGTGCTTCAAGCCATCCCTATATCCCCCTTTCATTTTGAAGAAATGATTTTTCCACTTGTTATCTGTATAATCTCCTCAGGTGTTCTTGTATCAGGCACGATGCAGTGTTTTGAGTATCCATTTGTGCTGCTGTTCACCGTTGGTCTGCTGTTTCTACTGGGGCTGGGAGTGATCCTGCCGTCTCTCTTGCTCTATCTCCTCTACAGACCTGGAGTATGTGTACCTCTGTGCACGCTATAACACACATGATGTTGGCTACAGCATCCATGTACACTCATTTCCTGATCAACACTGTCTTGTAAGCACATTCTACACCCATCAGCCTGTCTGTTTACTGAACCTGTAGGGACGCAACAAGACTCGTGCTATATATATATAATATATATACATAATATATATATATACACCCTGTCTCTGTGTTTCTTTGCTACCCACCACTTGATGGGTATCGATTCTACTTATAAGAGTGGCTCATCTTCTCTCCTGGTCATGCTGATTTCGTGCCATAGTGCTCAGAGTTTGGTCGGATGTAGCTTATACTGCCTGTGTGGATGCTATAGTCTGTTTTGAGCCCAGCTGCGGGAGCACTTACCGCACTGTTAAACTATCTAGCCTTGCCTTATGGCTTCTAAAGAAAAAACCAGTAATTATCGTATGTTTGTAGATCCTAGCCTAGGGCAGCTTTCTTAGAAAAAAAGTGTTGTCCTAGGTGTCGTTGATAATCACTTGCCTTGTGATTACACCCCGTGATTAATGGTACTCTGTCACAGAAACATGTGCAAGCAGCTGATGCTCTGTCGCGAGGGCTCAAGACCAGAAGACGCTACCGCTGGTATGGAGTCTGGGACGTCTGGCGTCGCATTCTCTTTGTTGCTGCCAACCTCTTCATATCCGTCACAACCAGAAACATTGTACTAGTAAGTCTACCATAATAACTAAAAACTGCACACGATCTGGTACATACCATTTAGCGGCCAAAGTGTTTTTAAGTAGCTCGACTGTCTGCTGGACATATCTATACTTTAGTATGCCTATAGTGCTTTGTGTTACTGAGTGTCTGCTATGGTATATAATATATTTAAAGTAGGGTGAAGACTAAGACAGGCCTTGTCTATGGTTAACTTACTGTGATGTTCTAGCTCTTTAGGCTGTCATTTTTGGAACTACATTTTATATACCTTATAGTGATGATTTCACTGTGTACTGTGACCAATAAAAATAACCCCTCCCCCTCCTTGGCCACAGCTGATCCACTGTCTTCTAATACTGACGTGTCTCTCCATCGTCTGCTTTGTAAAGCCCTACAAGAAGGCCCACATCAACATCTCAGAAGCCATCATACTCTTCTGCCTCTTTGGGGCGACCCTGGCAATTTTAGATGACGAGGATGTGAATGTAGGAATCAACACCAGCATTGTGTTTGCTGTTCTTCCTTACATCTATGCACTGGTGTACATTGTGTATAGAGTGGCAAAGACCCTTGGAAAATACATTTGGTACGTAGTTCATAAAGTCTATAACTACTTTTCAACTTTTCTTCATAAACAAACACTTTTCTGCAGGAATAAAGCAGAGAAAAGTGAATCAGAGAAAGTAAAGACAAGGGTGGATATGTTTATTGCTAAGTATAAACGCCTCAAGGAGAGCAAGCCATACGGTATGGTGATGGCTGTCGTTGACATGGTAACAGAGGAGGAACGTACCACATCAAGGGAAACAAGTAAGTACATTAGCAGTTACCCAGCCAACGGTACATTGGAAATGTAAAACAAACAGGAGGAGGATGGTCTCTTCCATAAGGAAAGGTAGCTAGTCTTGTATAGCCTAACTCTTGAGCACGGGGTCAGGTATTATAAAGGCAAGGCTGTGTATACATGTTGAAAGAGGATGGCCACTTTGTTCTGCAGCTCAGACTACTGAGCAGGGTGGCAGGTTATCAAAAGGTTTATCGAGAGAGAGGTCCTGTGAGGGAGACACGGAGGAGACGAGGGACAGACTGTGTTGGACCCCAGTGGCATTGAGCTGCTGTACAGGTCTGGGACTATTGTTGCTGAGCTCAGGGAGCCTCTACTGGAAGAACAGTAGCTCTTTTATAGACTTGTAAAATGTGTGTTCTGTTTAGTGCCGAACGCTCTTGCCATCGCATCTGCCAGTGCCACTGTTACGTACGTGCGACTTTACTTGCGCAGATTGTGATGACGTGTGAAGCTACGTAGTGGGTGGGGATCGGTGCGTGGCAGCACAGGCGAATTCATAGCGAGCGGGAGCGAGCACATGACTGTATCTCCACGAGCCATCCTAGCCTATTTACAACTTGTACCTTCGAACCACGAAGATTGGAAAGAGGTACAGCCTCGGTCAGGCACCGAAGAATGCTGCGAATGCCGTCGAACGGACGATATTGTTAGATCGCGCATCGAGGATCGTCGCGTAATCCAAAACGCATGCGCAGTAGCACGACAGCAATCAACTTGCACCGTGAAAGCGCGCGTGCGCCCTTGGCGCATATGATAATATACGGTGGGGGTGCGCCGCTGCTATAAAGGCGTCCCTTGGGATTATTGTCGCAAAGAGAAAATAGCCTTTTCGCCGTTATAACTACAGATGAAGGTATTCATTTGGAGTACGTTGCAGCTATTGCTCCTGCAGAACGTTAGTGGATCTCCAGTAGGTGAGGAGACCTTCGATGGAGTTCCTCGGTTGCGTGGCCCGACTTTTTGTGGAAGAAGCTCAGCAAATATTAAAGGTTTGTGTACAGTTGTTTGCATTTTAAAAGTGTGTTTTCCCTAGATTTTCATGTACAAATAATAATAGCTATATACTAGCGCCAAAAAGCTTGTTAGCTAGTTTCGAACTCCATTCCCCACTGCACTGGTGTTTTTGTGCTTGTTCTTGTTGAAAGTTACTCCTAATGGATATTGCTAGGTAACGTTATGTTGTTGATAAAACACTATCATTTTCCATGTTGTTGGAGTAAGGAAAGAACCTGCACCAAATGGGCAGGACACGATCCTTATGCCCACATGTTACATCATCCCCCCCACACACAGTACATAATAATAGCTATATTAGAGAGTCGGTAGACTCTCTATATAGGGATGACACGGGTGAAATCTCACGTGATCCGCGTACAAAACGACTAAAAACTCGGTGAGAATCACTTCCTAGGCCTTCAAAACATACTAGCAATAGTCTACGGGCCCATATCTACCTATACATGTCCCCCAAGACTCATACGCACCTTCAGTCGTCCACGCGAGAATTCGCTCATACGCGATTTGCACGATTTTGTTCATCATATTCTTCATCTTCTTCATCTCTTCTTCTGCTTCTTTCTTCTTCTTCTCTCTCAAAAACCCGCTATCTCCTTACCAGTACCAGTTCAAGCACTGATTTTTTCACTGAAGGTCTCCAATTTCGCCGGAGGTGTGCACGGACATCAAGCGATCGTTTCTTTCTTGCCGCTAGCTCACTACGGTAGATCATGGAGCTCTTCCCTGGTCGACCTGAACACGCCATTTGCTGCTTACTCAGCATCAGTGATCCGCGCGCATGCGCCAGGCAGGGGCGTTGTCCAATGTGCTTGCGAACGTATTCTACCGGGCGAGTTGGCAGACCTGCAGGAACTGTCAGCCTCCAGTACCTTCTGTAAGTAAGTGTGCACATTTCCGACTGGCTATCTTGCTGTTGATATGCACGAAGAGCAACTTGCCAGAGTCTGCGCGGTGTTACGCGAGCCTTGCGGGGCACTCAGTCAAATGGGCCTTCATTGTTTGTCCCCCCAGGTTGTAGCCTGATTACCAAAGCCTGCCAATGAAACCACACCTGTGCAATAATCTAATTACACTCCTTGTTGAAGACAATACATGGTATCTAGCAGCCCATTAGCTACTACTTTTCAATTTGTCTATGGTAGCCTATCTACAACATAGCCATGAACATCAGAGTGACTGTAACAATAAATGCAGTGTTGCCAGAAGCTGTTAAAAATAGTGGAAACAAGTGGGAAAAATCATTTCTTCAAAATGAAAGGGGGATATAGGGATGGCTTGAAGCACCAAAAAGGAAGAAACAAGGGGTCATTACACAGCAAAGTTGCACAAAGCTACATGACACCATCCCTATATCTTTGTTTTTTATTGTTTATAAGCAAAGTTTAATATCAAACAATATCAAACAAAGATATAGGGATGGTGTCATGTAGCTTTGTGCAACTTTGCTGTGTAATGACCCCTTGTTTCTTCCTTTTTGGTGCTTCAAGCCATCCCTATATCCCCCTTTCATTTTGAAGAAATGATTTTTCCACTTGTATATACTAGCGCCAAAAAGCTTGTTAGTTTCGAACTCCATTCCCCACTGCACTGGTGTTTTTGTGCTTGTTCTTGTTGAAAGTTACTCCTAATGGATATTGCTAGGTAACGTTATGTTGTTGATAAAACACTATCATTTTCCATGTTGTTGGAGTAAGGAAAGAACCTGCACCAAATGGGCAGGACACGATCCTTATGCCCACATGTTACAATCACACTCACTCACACACACAGTGACTATAATAATTAATTCTTTGTTTTGGCGCGACTGAAACTGCAGTAGAACCTCCGACAAAGAACACTCCAGCATGGGCACACTTTGAAGTCCCAAACATTATCTTTTCTATAGCTCTATAATATGGTACAATTTTGACCTCCAAAAAGGGAGAGCAACCTCCCTATTAACATAATGCCTGCTCCCAGTGTGTCCATCATTTGAAATCAAACTAGCTATTATTTTCAGAAGGCTTTATTGAGTGATGGAGGAACAAGTGTATGCAGTCATCTGCAGAGAGTTTTCAACTCTAGTGAGAAACTAAACTTGGTAGAGTATGGATCACAACCTCCAGATCACAGCTTGCTGGATGATACAAACCTCTTATGGAGTGGATCAGCCACTCTTCAAAAAGGTTTGAAAATTAACGACAGCTTAATGACACCTTGAGTTTTGTCACTTTCTTCAGATACTGTCTATTTGACACTTCAAGCTGAAGATGAAGGTGTGGTACATTAGATTGCACATTGCACTGTTCTGTTATCAACAATAGGCTATATAGCTACCTTGTTGTATGAATTGGTTTACTGGCGCTGTCATAAAGTGCATGGCATTATTGCACTGTTGCTTTAAAAATAAATGTAGCTACAATAGGCAAGTGACCTGGTTATATAAATTGGTTAACCTTCGTCATAAAGTGCATGGCATTTAAAAATGTACAATAGGCGAGCGACCTGGTTGAATGAATTGGGTACAGTCTATACCAGTGCTATCCTGTCAGAAAGTTAGGAGAAAAAGCAATGAGACAATACTATGACCGAGTTTTAAGAGAGTATACTAAATTTGTGTTGATAAAACTTATGTTTCTTTACCAGTAAGTTCTATCGATTGTTGTGCATTAATAAATGTGTATTAAACCCTTTGGACGCCATGGGTATCTCCTTAAATAAGCAAAATGGATGTATAACATATTAACTCCTAGTATTATAGCCATATATAAATTCTTATGGACTTATGGAGGCTCTCGGTATATAATATGCCCGTGGCTTGCTAAGGGTTAATGTTGAATTCATGCCTCATGCGTGAACAACAACGCAAAGATAGCTACAGGGATAGCTTTAGGAATTTTGTCTCAGTGTATACATCCTGTTGCTTCCCTTCATTTTCAAATTCTCGTATATTATACGTGCGTACATTTCGTCACGCTTAAACGTGTATATAGTCCGCGGATAAAAATATCTGCTAAGCGCTTCTTGCGCGCGCGCGCAATTGCAGAGAGGCGGAGTCGCTTCCGTGCGCATGCGTATAAAACGGGCGGTGCCTGGAACAAACATGGCGGCGGTAAAATTCAAAAACGTACCAGAAGGCAAGTGTATGGAGCCTTCGTTTGTACCGCTAGCGCAACGCTGGAACAACTTAGCTGCAGTGCGCAACACGGATTGGTAATAAAATGTGCGCACGCGAGTATATAATACGTATATACAAGTGCGTGCAAGCTGGCTGTATGGCTCAGTCTTCCTCCAAGGATGTTCCTCAGGGCTCTGCTGAGGGCTAGGGCTAGGGCTAGTTCCTCAGGACTCTGCTGATGGAAAGAACAAGATAATTAATAGCAGCTATGTCAAAGAGCTTCGCCATTAGCTCGACCGGCTTCAATGGAGGTCAGTGCTCCCGCAGGAGCGAGAGCGGACTTTAGAGCTTCCATTCGCTCCTTGAACGCTGCCATCGTGTCAGTGTTGCCAAACGTTTGCTGGATAGTCAAACGTGGGCCGCCGGCCCTCGGTTTCTTGGCCGCTGGAGGCAGACATTCATGTGCGAGTAGCGCAAGAAGCGCTGTTCAGCGCATTCATGAGCAAGTAGCGCAAGAAGCGCTGATTCAGCATTGAGAGGCACAAACGCAGCGTGTTTTTAGTGCGTGGAAACGGGTGCGTGGTAGCCAGCGGCTCAGGAAGTGAAGAGACAGTAGTTTGAAAACCGCCATTTTGTCACGGTGTGCGCTAAAGTTAATAGATTTTTGCATGGCACGCCCCTTTTTATACGCGGACTACACGTTTAAAATGTCCACTTCCGTCATTCGTAGGAAGTCTAGCTTCCGCCGTGCGCGCAGAAGTCTGGCTTCGCGCGCAGTCGGTAGAGCGCGCGGCCTCAGTCGGACTGTTTCTGGCAGGCGCGAGGCAAAATATGCGCGTGCGCATTCCTAGATAGAACTAGATGTTAGTTAGGGTCAAACGATGGACAAAGCTGGAGACATGGGTCAAAATTCAGCATGCTAAATTTTTACACCAGAGCGTAAGGTGCTTTACTGTAAACAACAATAATGCTAACATGAAAGACACACTGGGGAAATGTCTTTAACTGAGTGGAATACTTAAAAGTTAAGCCATGTATGTGGATAGATCAAATGTCCATGAAAGCTGTAATGTATTGCCTTGCCTAATATTGTTCTGTATGTCATGCACGCATGCGTAATAGATTATTAGTCACGATGTACGTCATTGTAGTCAGTCGTGATCACAGCTACTGATGTATACAGCGCTCGTTAAAGAGATATTATATTTTCTACTCTAACGAGAGATCACGGGTCCGCACGAACTTGGCAGTACCAGCGTGTGTGCACTAGTAGGTTATAGAAGATAACTACAGAAGCTAAGGCCATTCTATATTGTTTTGACTGTAGGTCCAGTACTGTTTGTGTCACCAACTGCACATAATTCACCAACACTCGGAAATGTTTTTAATGAAACATCGAATGACATAATATTGCAGAACAGACTACTAAACATGACATACAACTGTGCAAGTAAAAAACTATCTATCCATATTGATGTCAGTTCGCCAACAGCAGTTATTAAGAATGTCCTAAGTTTCAACAGATTCACATTTTCCCTCTCAATGGTTGTTGACTCAAGAGACGCATTTGAGACTGCTGTGTTTAGTGGGTCAACTACCTTTCTTGATATTCCAGCCTTTGTTGCTGTCAGGTTCAAATATGCCACTAGAGCTGTAGATATAAGAGGCGTTCCCACTGAAAGGAGTATAACCCTTGAAAAGGCATTAGAAGCGATATCAGTTGATGGACTAAAGATGCCTACAAATAATATCCGGGAGCTTTCGAATGTTGCACTTTTTGGTAAAATAGAGAAAGGTATGACTACTTTTGCTATGGAAGGCAGGAGTAATGGCTGTACGGTTGTGCTGCTTCATGAACTATCAAACAACAGCAGCAATGCTGCTCTAATAGCTTGCATTAGCAGTATTGGTTTACAGGAACTCATCATGGCAGTATCAGATACCAATATATCCAGGACACCCATCTATTCTGACTTAGCGGTCTCAAACCTGCGCTTCTCTTCAGCTACAGGTGAAATCTCAACACCTCTGTTGTCCCAGATCTTCCCAACAAACTCTCCATTGGCAGTGTTTGGTAGCAGGATTCACAGTGGAATCAGAGCCTATCTCACTGCCCAAATAGCTGGAGTTAGCATGACTGGGATATTGAGCCATAAGAAACTGGTTTTTGAAGTTCCCAGCGGTACACAAATCCAACTGAGTAAACTACTAAGTAGTTATCCTCCTCTCAGTGGTTTGGGGTCATTTCCTCTGGTGGGAAGGAGTATAATTGACTCTAGAGTATCAAGGGTTTCGTATGATCCTGACAGTAAGCTTTTTGTGCTAAGTTCACACTTGCCCAAACTCCTCCTTATTCCAAACGTGATGCTTCTCTCGAATGTTGCCTTAGATATCAATGCTACACTTCAGCAGACGCTGTCAGTTACACAATTAAACCTAACAAGCAGTTGGCTCTTTGGGTCACTCAATGTAACCACACAATTGTCATACAATGGTACTGAGGGGGTGTATCATGTGAGGGGGTTCACAACTCAAACTCTACAAATCAATGACCTGTTTAGGAATATACTTGGATCCGATCTTCCCAGTGCCCTGAAGTCCCTTACTCTGACCACAGCAGTGGGGAGCATATACAGCAATGGTAACTACATCATAATATTCAGTGGCAGTCTTAGGGAGGGGAAGGTTTGTCTAGTTTTTCTCAAAGACAGCACTGGAACAAAGCTTGGTCTTGTGGCTAGTGTCAAAGGAACGAGGCTGTCGGATTTGGTCCACTCTGCAAACGGAGTAGATATAAGTGGAACGCCGTTCTTTGGGGACCTAAATATTTCCATGGCGGTATCAATAGCATCTGCTCCCATTGAGAAAAGCAGGCTAATTAACATACTACCCAAAGAGATTAACAAAGTCTTCCCTACTGATGGTGATATGTTTCCAGTTGGAGTTGTTTCCCATTTTAGAATTAATGTGTCTGGCACCATTGGCACAGACTGCACATTGAGCAATGGTATAGTGAAATGTACCTCTCTAAAGTCAGCTAACTTCACAGTCAAACACCTGGCAAGAGAGATACCTGGTTTGAGGAAGGCGATAGATGAGCTTCCTTCAGAGATATCAAGTGTTATTAATGCCAAGGTAAACACATTTTCTTTCAATTCAACCACTAATGAATTCATCATTGGAATGGAAATGAATAAGTTGGTATTTGTCAAGGAATTTCTGTCACTCTCTGGAGTAAGGATAAGGTATGAAGGAAGATTGGGCTCAGTCATTAGTACAACCTCTATTGAAATTGAAGGCACATGGCACATCTCAGAGTACTTGGTCATCACAAGCATTTCATATGATGCGTTAAACAAGGATTTTTCTATCAGCAGCAGCACAACGAGTGATGTCTCCATTAGTGACATAGTGCTTAGATTTACTGGAAAATCTCTTTCACTCCCTTCATCCGTTTCATCATTCAGCCTCAGAGGAGTCTCTGGGAAGGTTGTTAATGACAACATCATTGTTGCTTTAAACGGTGTAATTAAAGGAGGAAAGGTTGTTTGTGTGTTTCAGAATTCTTCCAATGAATCTAGTGGAGCTGTGGTAGTTGATATCTCACAGTTTAGACTGGCAGACTTGGTACAGTTGGCTTCAGGAATAGATATATCAAACATCCAATACTTTGGATCCTTAGTGATCCCTCGACTGAGGTTTACTGTGGCAACTAGTGACATCAGAGGCCACATGCTGCAAGAATTAGCCCCGAATGGGTCCCCACTAGAAATGTTTAAAAGTGGCATCAGTAAGGGAGTTTCAGGGAGATCTTTGTTTCAGATGGAACAAGCTGGCCTAGTGGCACTGAAGTATGAAAACAAACTACTAACATTTAGAGCTTCAAATGCTTCATCGCTTTCTCTTAGTACATTACTTTCAGCAATGCCAGGAATTGAAGACATGATTCGTAATCTTCCATCGAAACTCTTAGATATTCTCGAAACACAAGTGCAAGGCTTTTCGTTTGATCCGGTCTCAAATGAGCTGGTGTTAAATGGAACCATGATTGATTCACTGGATATTGTTGACAACTTGATTTCCTTGACCGAAGTCAAGGTGTCGGTTGTTGTTATTCTTGGTCAGAAGAAGCAACTGGAAAATGTAGTTTTGAGGGGAAATGTGATATTTGGGAAGATGCCACTGCACATTAGCATTGCTTATGATGGAAGACATGAAACTCTACAATTAACAGGAGAGCTTAAGACACAAGTAGAACTTAATGACCTTGTGTCGTCTCTGTCAGAGCAAACTTTAAGTATTCCACCACTACTTTCTTCAGTGAGTCTATCAAAGCTTAATGGTACTGTTAGTGATGGTGTCACGCTTATAATTGTATCTGGTACTGTTAGCGAGGGTCAGATCCACTTTGCCTATCGTAAATCTGAATCGGGCAATGCAGTTGGTATTGCTGCTGTGAAAGAAAGTCTTCGATTTTCCTCCCTAGTATCCAGTGCTTTGGGAATAGATATATCCAACATTCCCTACTTTGGTACATTACTTATCCCTGACATTGGTCTGACCATCTCATCTGATGACATCACCAGTCCTCTATTGTCAACACTGTACCAACCATCATCTGTTCTGGCTAATTTTGGTGACTCCCTAGATAGAGGATTGAGGGCATCATTTCAACTGACTATTGGTGAAGTGAGAGGTATTACAGCCAATTTCGTTGAAGATAAACTAGAGCTCGAGGTACCAGACAACAGTCAGCTTCCTCTGAGAAAACTTGTACAACTCCTTCCCAATTTAAAACTGGCTATCAAAGCTCTCCCTCGTGCATTTCAAAGTTTACTCACTGCACTAGTGGAAAATATGGAGTATTGGCCCAAAACGAATGAGATAGAGATGGAGGGGCAGATTAGGTCTATTGTCATCATACCTAACTTCTTGGTTCTGCAAAACTGTAATTACTCCCTTTTAGGAACAATTGGTGGAAATTCAGTTTAAAATATGCCAGTTTTTACGGGTTGTGGGCTTTTGACCAACTTTCTCTAAGTGTAAAAGTGATTTACGACGAAGGCTTGTTTATAATTGACGCTTATCCTGAAGGAAATGCAAGTCTAAACCTGCAGAACCTAATCAGAAAATTCACAGATACACCTTTTAATACACCACCTGCCCTAAGCCCTGTTGGAGATTAAACAAGTTCATGGAAAAATCGAAAAAGGAATTGTGTCACTTGTTTTCACTGGAAAAGTTGGAGGAGCAGCTAATGTCAGTGTAGTGTATGAGAAATCGCCGAACGGTAATGTGGTGGTGTTTGCAGCTGATGTGACACAGTTCCGACTATCAGACATTATTCTGGCTGGGGCTGGAGTTGACATTTCAAAAGTACCATTCTTTGGCTCTCTCGCGATCCCAGCAACTAGTTTTGCCATCTCATCAGACAATTTCTCAACACTCAATCTTCCAGACTTGGATATTCCTGGGATTGCCACTGAACTGTTTCTGGAGACTATTCCAAAAGGCCTTAAAAGTCAGTTCAGGGTAAGGATAGGTAAAGCTGCAGGTTTAATTGGAGAATATGCTGGGAATGTACTTACAATTAGTTCATCATCTTCTATTACTTTGTCTCTACTTGACCTCATATCAGCTATTCCAGAATTGGGAGCCACCACCGACTCTCTTCCTAAATTTCTGCAAGTTCTTAAACATGCAAATGTGTCAGCTGTTACCTACAAACCCAGCTCAGGAAAGCTCTTGGTCTCACTGAGCATCAATTCCCTGACAATTTTGCCAGACTTACTCAACCTTGATCAAGTCAGAGTGACTGTTGATATGGATATTACAGGCTCTCGTGCTTCATCGGAGGAAAGCTTTGGAACAAGGGACCAACAATGGGACCATTCTGATCATGATGTTCTTGACTACCAACAAAATGCTGTGGTACAAGTTATAAAACTTAATGAACTTACTATGGAAGGAAAATGGAATCTTCTCAATAACTATATTGCCATGTTTGTGAGGTATGATGGAAAAACAGGAAAGTTCAATATTCAAGGGAGTCCACCAATCAACGCAAAGTCATTGAGCATTAATAACCTCATCAGCAAATTTTCGACTGCGAAAATTAACCTTCCTCAAATTTCTTCACTGAAACTTGAAAATATCAGAGCTGTCTCATCATCTTCGGATGTTTATACTACTTTAATCGTTACTGCTACAGCAGGGGCATCAAATAGAATACATATCATATATCAGAGAACAGGAAAAGGCCCTGGAATCGCGGTAGCAGCCGAGCTACAATTTTCCCTTGTCCAACTCGTAAAAACAGTAGCCAACATTGACTTGAGTTCTGTCCCTTTCATTAACTCATTTGGAGATATATCAATGGCATTCACTTCATCCAACAGTCCTATTAAAACTCAACTGCTACGGAATTTGATTGAGTCAGACTCTCCACTGAAGGCTTATGTTAGAGGCATTCCAGAAGGTGTCACAGCCTATATGAATGTACTCATTGGAGGCTGTGTGGAGGTCCAAGTAACATACGAAAATAATGTATTGAAATTTGCAATTCCCCAGAAATGTAAGTTGACGCTCAGAAATTTACTCTCTGAGATTCCAGTGATAAAGTCTATTGCAAATGTACTTCCACCACCAGTTAGTGATCTGCTTGCAGGTGATGTAAAATCAATTCTGTTTGACCCGCCAACGAAAGCTCTTTCCCTTAAAGCCCAATTTCAAGAGTTGAACTTTTTCAATTTGTTGGTCTTGCGAAATCTCAAAGTCTCGCTTACTGCCACCTTGGCTAGAAATGGTCGGGTTAATTCAATATCATTCAGTGGTGACCTTGTTTTGTGCGATGTAACTGTCATGACAAGCGTATCCTATAATCAGAGAACACAAGATCTGTTTTTTGATGCTTCTCCTAATCCAGGCCTGAGTATTACAAGCATTATTGGTTGCCTCTTCAAGCAAAATTTCAACATTCCTTCATTTCTCAATGGTGCAAAGATCACCAATATACTAGGCCAGAAAGTAGCAGACACTTTCACGTTTGTAATGAGTGGAAGCATTGGAAGCAAGTTTAAAGTATTTCTGGTGTACAAGAGAAGTGTGGGAGAGAGTGCGCAATTTGCAGTTGCAGCTTCTGTTGAGTCATTCAAACTTGCTGATCTTCTTAACGAAGCTGCAGGCATAGATATTAGCAGCATTCCGTTTCTCGGATCCATTAGAGTCCCACGACTTGGTCTCTCAATTGCACCTAGTGGAGATATAGCTACACCTCTACTGAACAGAGTAGTACCGGCCTCTTCCCCACTAAAAAAGTATGCCAACTACTTGCCAAGTGGCTTCACTGCTATGATAGACTTGTGGGTGGGAGGAAGTAGGCTTACTGGGAACTATGTAAACAGAGTTTTGTCCTTTAGTCCATTTGCTGGAGAACTTTCACTAGGCTCGCTGCTCAAGCAGATACCTGGTATTAACATAATTTCAACTGGAATCACAGCAGTCTTCAAAGATATTTTAAACCTGAAACTCAAACGCTTTGTGTTCGACATCCAACGGAAAGAAATGGAAATAACAGTATACCTTAACAGGTTCTCTGTTTTTGGTAAGGGTTTGTCCCTACAAGATGTCAACATTATGATAAATGCAACGTTTTCGGGGCCCACAACACTCTCAGTCAGGGCTAGTGGTGTCCTCACCCTTGGCAAGAAGAACTATGCTATCAGTATCGACCGCAGTACATCCACACAAAATTATGTATTATCAATACACACCGAGAAATTCCCTGTAATTGGTCTGCTCACAGCGGCTGGAGGTGCATTCCTTCCCGAAGACCTGCAGACTCTTTTGGGAAAGATTTTTGATATAAACATCTTGAATGCCACTCTGAGATATCCATTTGGAGCAATGCCGAACCATATGCTTATCTCAGGAATGCCTCAGTTGTTTGGTTTAAAGACGGTTCACGTTGCGGCACTTCTGGTTGAGCAAGGAGGTCAGACCAAACTGATTCAGAAGTACACTCTCCCAGGATTTAGCATCACAGATTTGCTCAATAAACTATTTGGAAAGTCTATACCATCAAAGCTCTTGCAGAGAAAATCCGACACCAGCTTAATTGTCTCTCCAGTCACTCTGCAAAACATGCCTTTATCAGTTCCAGAGTTTAGGGACATTGAAATTAGTGAAGGAATGTCGATATCCACTACATTCAGCTGGCCATCTAGCTGTGGCAGTGATGCCTTTTGCAGGGTCATGAAGACCCTCCTTGGAAAAGAGTCGAAACTTAGACTTGAGGGAGCATTTAGAAATGCTCGCTATTATTCTCTCACAGTAGCAGTAAGTGATGTCAGGCTTGGAGGTGGGGTAGTGCTGACGAGAGCAGGCTTGCAGTTTGTTGGTGGAGCTGAACTGTCCATTGGTCTTGTTGGTAGCATCCAACTCAAATCACCCCCAGTTACTCTAAATGCTGCTATCAGGCTGACACCTGGCGGTGTGAAACTTGAAGGCTCAATGACTGGCTGTTGGAAAAGAGCTTTCGGGATTCCTGTTTTAGCTGTATGCAACCTTCTCATGTCGATATCTATTGCTCCAGTTGCTCCACCAATAACAGGTCTTGAGTTTGGCGGCCGGATTGAAATAGGAAATCGCAAGTGTGGCATCAATAAGCTCCTTACTGCTGAAGCATATGTGGGGATAAATACGCTCGATATACAGCAAAACTATTTTTATGCTGATATAGGCCAGCTGACATTTCAGAGATTTTTCGATGCATTTTGCATACCAGTTACTCTTCCTAGGCCACTTGGAGACAGTGGGTTTCCAAAAGGGTTGAAGACATCATTCTCTCTCCTTGGCAAACAGCTCCCTCATGCAGGAATTACAATACCAATTGGACTCAGATTCAAAGGAACTTACAGCATACTTGGCCTTTCGGCATCAGTAGATATCAATATCCAACCAAGTAGGCTGAAAGTAACAGTTGAATTGCCCCCACTAAATCTTTTGGGGGTTTTGAAGATGTATAAGTCATGTACGGAAAAATCAAAAGGCCCATTGTTTCATGTTGACATCAGTGCCACTAAAATGCCAGAGATTGAAATCAGTGGCTTTGTTGAGGTGTTGGGGGTGTCGGTTGAAGGAAGGCTCCTTATAACAAACACCAAGTTTGAGGTCTTTGTTGAAGGCCGAATTTTTGGCCTATTTATTGCAAGTCTTCGTATCAGCACAGGATACTCAAGAATGTTACAGTGCACCGTTCGAAGTTGAAGGAAGATTTAAAAATGACTTGTTTGACAGATTGCAAAAGGAGTGAGGGATGGACTGCCAGAAATCAGCTGATGAAGCAGACCGGCACATTCAGCAGCTCACAAACAAGATAAGACAGGTAAAAGGGAAGTTTGATAGTGCCATCAATTCATTGGAAAGGGCAAAGAGAAAGGTTGATGATGCCAAGGAGGTGTTCGATGTTGCAATAGGCAAAATGGAAGGTGCTAGAAGAAAACTTGATGGTATCTGCCGTATTAAATCATGTGGATCAGGTTAGATTCCTTGTGCATGTCTTAAAGCTATTCATGTGCAACTTATTTCCTCATTTACAGCGTGTGTGGGGTGTCCAAGTGGTTCTAGATGCTGTGCAAAAGCATGGCGTAAGTGTGTTTGCTGGTTTCCAGGATGGAACAGCTGCTGTTTCAGAGTCAAAAATCCAGCCTGCCTTGCTGCCAATGCTGCTTGTTGGCTCCTAAAGAAGCCACTCGACCTCATTCTGCAAGCTGCAATAGTTGTAATTGACAAGAGCCGTCATGTTGTTGACATTGCTAAAGTCGCTCTAACCCTGGTACAGGGTGTGTTGCACACTGCAAAATTAGCCCTTGATGTAGCAATTGGCGTTCTAGAAGGGATCAAAATCACCTACAAGGTAGGAGTCAAAGCAATTTCTGCATTGGTCGACTTTGCCCTCACAAAACTACTCAATATACGGGAAATGCATTTCAGAGTTGCTCTCGGTACAGCCAAAGGTGGTGAGTTTGACTGTGGAGTCAGCGGAGTTTTGCTGGGAGTAAACTTTAATTTGAGGGTCAGGTTTAACATTTTAGATATCTGGTCTATCATCAAGTTTTTCGCTGAGAAAGCCGTTTCTGGTCTCTCCAAGTTCATTGGCTGATTTTTCATGGAAAGACAGATGTAGATAGATAGCTAGCTAAAACTTAGTAGCCATAGATGTAGATGTAGCTAGAAGGTAGCAAACGGTTCATGACAGACTATGAGCTTGCAAATTGCATTTACTCCACTGTACTCATTAATTTGGTCACAGCAAGGGAAGTTTAACGCATGAAACCTTTGGCACTTCTATTTGCACTAAGTTGTACACATGTTATCTGCATTCCTGACTATACTTATACAACTCCCTCTTACCAGTGAAATATCACTGGTGAGTGAAATTAGACCACAGTTGTCATTGCGTGGTGCTGTCACCATACCATAGTTCTAAATTCTGTATAACACCATAAACAATTGCACACGTGTGTTCACATACGTTTTAACTGGCACTGTCAATATTCATAGCAGCCTATAATGCAAATTCTATGACATTCACCAACGAACGAATCTAACACACCATGCAGAAACTGTTAGTTTTTGAAGACGTTTACGTATTGGTTCCTTTCCTCTTCTGGTGTGTTGAGGCATATGCTGTGTTTGGTGCCACTGGTTCATATTCTCCTCCTCTCACTGGCACTACATTGTCATAGTTTTCTTCATACGCACATCCATCACAGTCTTTCTTTGAACTGACATCGTTTTTCCCGAGTTCAGTAGTGTCGTCAAAGGAGTGAGCATTGTAGGCTACATTTTGTTCAGTTGCACTGCACAGAGTTGGTTGAGCAGCATATGCATACATGTTGTCTTTCTGAATATAATCATGTTCTGTCTCCATGTTATCTTCGGTACCTTCTGGCAGCGCTCTTGTTTTTTTGGTCAGGTGACTTTTCCTCCAACAAACACATACAGTGATAAGTACTATGATGGCAATTGCAAGGACAAGGACACTGGCGGCTGAACCAGCAATGAGAGATGTTCCGTAGTTACTAGCCATAGACTGTTTGCTCTCTGGTGTGGAGGATGGTGTGAGGCTGTGAATGATGATTCTTCTGTTGCTTGTTTTGTACGAGGTGATATTGAAGGAGAAGTAAGCCTCACCGGAGCTAATGTAATAATCAAAAACAATATAACTAGAATTCTACGGCATTGCAATAATCATGCAGCAGGCCTCTGCCCAACTTCTACGTGATGGTGCATGTGATGAGTACAGCCTAAGCATCTCCAGCCAAACATCAAAAGAGCATGATTACCAAAGATAGGTGTTTTGCAGTCATGGCTTTACCAGCTAAACACCGGTTTCCTCAAATTTAACCAAACTGCAAAATAATAATGGCAAATGAAGTAAGCCTCAATGTGGATCTTCTTCTATAATGTCGCACACACATCTAAAACTCCAAACACCCACGCGAAAAATTGAACTACCTGTGTTAGCTAGTGATACCGTGTTGACTTACAGGCTTCAATAGTGATCAGTGGACTGCCGTATCCCCTTACGCTATCAAGTATGTCAAAATACTCATCTTGGGTTTCTCTGCTCCAATAAAATAGTATGTCATTATTCTTCTCAGACAAAGGCCTAAACGAGTAACTAATAAAGAGACCCACAATGTCTCCTGGCTCAGCAACCACAGTAGTAGTCGGAGTAAACTCGTAAATATCTTCCCTTTTCGTCCTTGATAACACAGACATCACTGTCACAGTGTTGTTGACTTTCTTGTAGAGAGTACTACTCAAATTTCCCAACTTTCTCCACAGGTGTAGTTCAATATACCCATCATCTGGATCATCTCTATGATAATATTGTGCTGCAACTGTCCATTTTGAAATATTTACTCTGCATGTGAAGTTTAGACTCGGAAAGAGAACACTAGATCGACGTCTGAAAATATCATCTGAATAACCCCTGCCACTACTAGACAACAAAGAACGCACTCTCTTTACTGACATGAACCCACATCCACAGTCTGATGGAACTGTGTAGAGACAGTATATATATTAAAGTGGTTTCTCCCATGAATGTTGTTACTACCTGTGGTCACTGCAATGACTGGGTAGCTAGTACAGTGAGGGCACTGGCCAGGGAGAAATTGCTCCCAACAGGTGATGGAAACAAACAGTCTACACACACACTTTGTTGGTAGGTAGTAATTTTGTTGGAGTTCTCCAGGTACAATTGAAGCTCAGTGCGATTTGATATAGGCTGGAAGTAACCAAAGATGTCTCCTTCCTGGAATGCTAGTGGGATGTCCAGTTGGTACTCATACACACCACTGCTGTTACTACTACCAACATTGATGGCGGTTCCAGCTATCTTTATGTACGTTGAGCCAGTGGAGGACACCTTCCTCCAGATCTGGAACTCCACGAAGGCTGGGGAGAGCCCCCTCCAATTAGCACCAAATATCCACCTGGTGATTGTTCCACTGCAGGTGAAGTTCATGTCAGGGACCAATACCTGTCTGGAGGATACTGTGCTCAAGTAAGTGTTTCCCAGCACTTGGTCAATGTGAAAAAGAGAGGGGAATCCTTGTGTACATTCTGCCACTTCCATTCCATCTCCATAATCCCCACAGGCTTTAAAATGATAATAACTTTAAAATAAACTACCGTACTGAGCAATGCCTGTACCTTCAGTTTTTGCAGCAAAGAAGGCAAACATCAACAGAATCCACCTAATATATACAAGGAAATACTCATCTACTCATGTTGCTGTAGTAGTGGTTTGCATGCATATGTTCAAGTGATGCATGTATGTATGGACCAACAACAAGGTAGAAAGGCAAAGGCAGAGCAAACAAGTCAACTGTACCCAGGACAACTCTTGTTTCCAAGGAAAAACGAAGAGCTACTCTGGGTCGGATTCAAATTCAAACCCACGACACTCTGCAGTCTAGGCTGAGCGCTCTATATACTCCCAGGGCAACTCAGCTGGTAGGGGTTCGAATCTACAACACAACACAAGACAAAGGCAAACCTCAAACCACTGAGCTATGGCACAGTATACTCTCACTCAGTATGTATATTATTCTCATTATATATACCATAAATGCACTCATTCATTATACCATAACGGTTGCAGGAAACAAGTCGTATGTTCACACATCATCCTTGTACTAGTAAATCTAATAAGAGTTACTAATGGCTTAGGGCTTGCACTACACACATTAGGCGAAGAAACATGTGAGGTAAGCAGTTTTTAGTTAGGCATACATATAGCTAGGTAGAGCAAGGAGAATATTCACACCAAAGTAATGATAATCAGCTGATGCCACATACAGCTTGACTATATCAAGTGTGGTAACAAGGAAATCAGCTCTTGAGTCAGCTCTAGACATCAATGCTATGTGACGGATCCCAGCAGCTAGCAGTTGCTAGTCATGTATTGTAGCATGTATATATAAGCGCGGATACGATCGCTATTACCGTTTGCCCAAGAGCTCCATGAGACAGAAGAGCATCCCTCCAATGGCTGCAAGTGCACTACAGATATTATTCCGTGACACAACTGCCGCAGAGCGCGAAGTCACGGAGGACTATATAGCGCAATCGGGCGTTTGTGCGCATGCGTGCACTACAAGCTCTGTGGTGCCCACACAGCGAATAACTACAACCTTACCAAAGGAAACATCTGTGCCTTGAAGTATATTCCATTCTACGTGAGATGTTCATAGCTATGGCAACGTTTACTCAGGCGTTATATACACACATCCTGTAGTTAAAAAAACATTTACTCTTGTATGGCAGTGATTACACTACACTACTGCCATGATAACATGCCCATCTGGGAGAGGAAGCAGATTTTCGGCGCCGCTCATGCGCCGCGCGCTCAAGGCGCTCTCTAGCTAGCTCCGCCCCTCGGCCGGCTGATCAGTGAACGAGTGATCACGAGCCATCAGCTAGCTAGCTAGCTAGCTATAGTGCAGTGCACGCTAGCTAGCTAGCTCTAGCACTGAGCTGATCACACACACTCGTACGTACGTACGTAGTACGTACGCGTGTCACACCCGGCCCGCGCGATCCCGCCGCCGCGCGCGCGCACACACGTGTGTGCAGCAAAACAGCAGCCGCCCGGCTCAATTCATCTTCTATGCAAGTCGAGAACCACTGCACCAAGAAGGCAAGAACCTGATAATACTGCACTGATCGATCGCTACTGGTGAGATGGCAAGAGCTAAGCTTGGACTGACGTTGGCGTTGCTGAAGCCAGATTTGGTTCTCAGACAGTACGCGGCCAAGGTAAACAATGAGCGGGTCTTTGATCCTTTCTCACCGATGTTATATTATGTTCAGGAGGTCAAGGGTTGTACTTAGTATATAGGATTGGCATGGTAGATGTATGGGGTGCTTGATAGAGAGTTTTGTTGTTCTTCTTCTTCAGATTCAACACCCATAACTCAAAAATGAAACAACATGAAGTAATGAAATTTTGTAAGAATGTAAATATCCATCACCAAGAGACTGTCATCTTATTTCTTTGTAAACAACATTGTGACTGTAAACAACAACAAATAGCCCCAGGCAATATGGATCACATGTGTCAGTATAACTCACAAATGGTAAGAGATATGTGAACGAAACTTTGTACACATAATGTATTCATCACCAACATCAATTACAACAATCAGTTTGTAAACAACAACAAATAGCCTCAGGCACTCTTAAACTCTGCAATGGTAGCACAACATAGAGATGACAACTGGTACATATGCCTATTATATCATTTCCATGACGATTACTTGTTTCATGACGACCACATTTGTTTTGAAGAAAGCCTCAGGCATTTTCTTTAACCCACTTCTCACTCCTCAAACTGCTAATTGTACACGCATGGAGTGAAACTTGGTGTGCATGTGTATTATCGTTTCCATGACGACAACAACAACAAATAGCCTCAGCACTTTTCTTTAAAATTATTCTTCACTCCTCAAACTTGCTAACGGTACCACGCATGGAGATGAAACTTGGTACGCATGTGTGTAACATCGTTTCCATGACGACCACAACAACAAAATAGCCTCAGGGTACTTTTATTTAAAATTACTTCTTCACTCCTCAAACTCGCTAACGGTACCACACATGGAGATGAAACTTGGTGCGCATGTGTATTACACTCGTTTCCATGACGACCACACAACAAACAGTTTTCTTTAAAATTACTTCTTCACTCCTCAAACTTCCACACTGTAGCACACATGGGAGGTGAAACTTGGTGGCGCATGCGTATTACATCGTTTCCATGACAACCATGACAACAATAGCCTTTCTTTCTTTCCACTCCTCCAACTTGCTAACGGCTGCACACAAACTTGGTACGCATACGTATTACATCATTCATGACGACAGGCATTCTCTTATTTATTTTTTTATGCCCCTTCCACAGAGATAATACGTAGTAGTATATTAAAAATGAGTGGAGACAAGTAAATAAAAAATCCTGCGAATTTATAAAAGAGGCATATAGGGATGGGATAAAAGAAAGGGAGACAAGATAGGGAGGGATACAGAGCATAGTTTATGAACACATTGAGTACGCTGACACCCCGACCCCATCACATAATCCCTATATTGTTGCCTAGGTGAAGTATTACACATTCACCATTACAATACTCAGAACTTATACTACAAAAAGTCATGCTACTGAGTAACCAACACCACTATAGAGTCCAAGTGGAGTTTAATTATAGGGAATGTGGCAGTATAAATTAAACAATAGGGACACGGTGAAAGGATGCTTGCTTTTAGCCCTTACAATTACAATGCGACATTCCCTATAGAGTAGCACACCAGGCAACAATATAGGGATTATGTGATGGGGTCGGGGTGTCAGCGTACTGAAATGTGTTCATAAACCATGCTTCATGTATCCCATCCCTATCTTGTCTCCCTTTCTTTTTATACCATCCCTATATGCCTCTTTTATAAATTCGCAGGATTTTAATTTACTTGTAAATATAGCTTATGCCTACTTTATACCTCCTCCCCTTGAGTTAGCCTCCATATGTACTGACTGTAGAGGAATGATTGCTTGTGATAATTTTAGCATGTGCACTGCATAAAATTATATTCATCTTTAGTCATGACCTCAGCTAGGAATGTTGTGACATTGCGAAAAGGTCACTGTATGCCAGTTGTGTATTCGCCTGAGCTATGTTACATCTGTGGCTAATGCAAAGGGTGCCGCAATTAGTAGTACCATTTGTAGGATGGGGACTTAAAATGCTTGACTGTATGAAAGTTTAGGATTCAGTGGCAGGCTTATTAACCCTCGGCGCCCATGCGTAGTGAGGGTTACGGTAGTTGGGTCTGTGTGTCTGTGTGTCTGTTACTCTACATCTCACTTCTCGGGTGTTTGTTCGTCTCACAAAGGATACGACCTACTTAACGGGCAATGAAGGTCAGAAATTTCGAACGGTTTTCTCTGAAACTGCTCCGTTGCAAAGCTAGAGCGCGAAAAAGCCAATATGCAAATACACAACGGACGGGATGGCTTACCACAGTTGGACGATCCGCGTGCTCTGCGTACTTCGGAGGCACCAGAAGATGCAACACAGGGCGTGTATTGCCTCTCGCATGCTATCTGCGCGAGCTGGCAAGAGACCACGAGTAACAGCTAAAGCTAAACCCAGCCCATCAATTAGTGGTACGGCGCATGCGTTTACTTACGCGTGCGCGTCACAATGCGCCGAGGGTTTGCACTACCAAATTGTCTGACTTCCACGTGATGGATGTAGGAAACTGACAGGAATTACAAACAGATCCTATGCGCAGTGTAGCACTGTGGAGTACTGAACATACGAGCATAATAGCTATGGGTCCCTAAAATAATAGTTTGAACAGCCACATTTAAAACGTTTGGCTCCAATTTTTTACACTTCACATGTAACTGACCTTTTCCGACACTTCATGGATCTCCTCTTGATCCAATGCCAAGACTCTAATAACCAGGCGGGATGGTATCCATAGACTGTAAACATAGTGTATTGGACTTTGGAGAGATCGGGTCAGCCAGCACTCATGAGCTCATAATGTTCACGTTGCGCAACACCTGTATCATCATTATGCCAAAGGGCAGTGTGTAACATTACTTTCGCACCAGCTGTAAAAAGAACTCTTTCAACTCTCTTCCAGGATGTAGGCAGCTTGGAGTACTGGGCTTACGTGGGGGCTTGCGAGCAGATAGTGACTAAACCTACATACCACTCTATTATATACAATATTATCTCATATCCTTTTTAACAAACACCCAAGGCAGCTAATTCCTGTCTACGATCGCCTGGGGTTACTACATGATGTCGGGTGAGCAGAGCTCTATTACTGGCCCACCCCCGCCCTCCAGAGGTGGAGGGACCTCATGGGACCCACTATAACCAAGTCTGGCCCCGTCCCTGGCCCCTGACCCATCCAGAGCTTCCACGGACTCAGCCGGACACCAGGAATGCTGGTCCATGGATTGCTCAGTAGTTCTGACTATTGCATGTTTTTTTTTGTGAAGGTATATATACATACATACATACATATAGGGGATATTTTCTGAGCGTTTGTGGGCATGTTTAGATGTGCACTCCATGTTCTGAGGGTAGGTTCAAAGATGCGCATTGCCCCTTTGTGCCATGCAAGCGTCGCTTGGTGCCGTGAAGATAAAAATGGAATTATCATGTTTTTGTATTTTACAACGCGTACATAACAATTGCAAAGCCGCTCTTCTAGCTCATGGCCTGGTCTACGCATTCTTTCCTTTTCTATTTGGTCTTATTTTTATATGGGAACTTAATTACCAGAGATTTTTTACTGCTCTTTCTTTTTAGTTAATCATTAAGATCAGTTTTTAATACACAAATATATATTTCATATTTTTCTACTGCCTATGTGTCATTGCTGATTGTTTGTCATGGGATTTGGACAATAGGTGTGTGGGAGAGTTGGAATGCACCATAAAGACTCTTAACCCAACCACTCCAGTTCTCAAGGCTGGGACACATGGTGTCCTACCTTATGTTGCAACTGTGTGTTTGTGCTGATGTATGTATATAATTGGGTGGGAGGGTGACTTTCTGGTTTTTCTTCTGTCTGTGGCTAGTACGCTATAAATTATAATTTTTCATGACTATCCCACCCGAAAAAAGCTTGCCTAAACTATACTGGTATATAGAGGATAGTGCAATTTCTCCAAATACGTAATTGATGCTGGGCATATGGCATTTTTTTAACTAAAGTGTGGCAATTCAAACTTACACACAAACAATGGGTATTACTCTGTGGATTGTGAGGGGCAGGCTTTTTGATGGAGGATGGGATATTCTGTTCCTGACTTCAACACAGTCAGCATGGTACACAACCGAGGAGCCCCTTTCCGGGTTGGAGAGTCAGTTTCTGTGAGAACTCCTCACCCAAGACCAATACTAGCACATCCACCCGGAAACCTCACCAGAAGAACACTCCCAATGTCTATTTACATGTCACAACTACCCAGAAATAGGCTAGTTTCACTGTTGAAGGATCATTGTGCAGTGAATCAACTACTATGCCTAACTGCTACCAATATCTGTTCCATATATGCCACGCTTTAAACTGCTTATGCTGTGATAAGACGGAAGTGGTATTTGATGTTAGTGCAACTTTCAACATCTGTTTTGTGGCCACCATTAAAGGGAGTGTCTGGGAAGAAAAAGAAGAAGAAGAAACAACTTTCAGTTCCTTGGCTTCAGGTTGTATTTACTTTAATACTGTAGAACCAAGAGACAGTAGTGAAAGATTGGAGGTGGGTAGTGCATTGAGCTGCCTGCTGGGTGCGAGAGACACCAGTACCATGATGGCATCAGTGGCAAACATAGTGCTCAAAACCCAAACTCTGTGTCAGTATGAAGTGGAGATGTGGGCCAAGGTATATAGAAAGCGGAAAAATGCCTCGATCAGAAGCTAACTTCGACGTTTTTGAGCCTGGGGAAACGGTATATACTTTGTTCGTAATTGTAGCCAAAGTGTACAGACGCGCAAATTTTGGACAGTTTGTGGCCTGTTTCGATTGTGCCACTCCATGTCTTAAGGGTAGTTCACACGTATGTGGCATTGCCCTTCACCGCGTTCCCTGTGGTGCTTTGAAGATAAAAGCGGCAGGGCAATACGACATATTGTGAACCCAGCCTAACTGTACATGACTATCCACCCCGAAATGTGAGGAAAGGATGTGAGGCAAGCTGTTTGATGGAGATGGCTACTCTGTTTCCTGACTTCAAAATTCAGCCGTTGGTACCAAACGAGGACCCTCTTCAGGGTTTTGGACGAGTCAGGTTCTGGAGACGCCCTCACCCACGACCACTAGCCCTCCACCAGGAACCCACCAAGAGAACTCTCAATGTCTCTTTAGTGGTGGTGGTTGGTGGTATATAGAAACACAGTGTGTCTCAGTTCATCATTGTTCTCAGCACCTGTTTCACAACGTTGTTGTGACATTTTATAAAGCAGTGGTATAATATTTTCTGTGTCTCTTTGTCAAGAGTTATTCTGCGATAGAGATAGACGACAATCATATTATGAACACACGGATGAACTCACCTCCCACATGTGCGTTGCACCTCCATGTACTTAACTCATGGGTAACGTTAGAACCTTCCTTTTCTCATATCTATTAGCCAATAACAAAATGGTAACGATTGAGAACTCTTTTGCTCATAGCTAGATAGCAATAACAAAACTGGTAACGTTGATGAGCTTGCTGTACGTAACCACAATAACCACAATGACGCGTGACTCGTACACTCGCTCCTCACAAATTACTCAGTGACCTATTTTACCGTCTGTTCTACTCAACATAAATTTAAAGTATGCAAGTCGAGCACTGCGAATAATAATAGCTACCATTATGTTATCTAGCTACCACCATATTGTCATGTACTTGGAACAGGTAGCTGAATTTTCATACTTGGGAAGGAGACGATATGCTCATGCCCATTACAGCAATTCTTCTTTGATAAATCTGCCGAGTATATCCAACGAACAAGTCTGAAGGTGATGTGGCGGATATTTCCTGCTTGTTTCTTGGAATAGCCAGGTCTATGAGACAATAACCCCAAAACTTTCAAAGTAGCCTCCTGACAGTCACTCGTAAATGTGAAGTGAAAAAAAGCAGACAGATTTTGCAAGGAGGAGGAACAGGAGGACGTGATGGATTTTGCAGAGAGCCTCGAGTGAGGTTTTTAAAGAAGGGCAATAATGACTGCTACAAGGAATGAACGGCATTGCTGTGATGAGCCAGGCTCAGGCTGAACTACAGAAGTGTTTGGGCCAGCATTGGGTTGCCCAGCCCAAGCAACTGCTATCCTTCCAATAAAATAGATAGCAGCCGAAAAAAAAAACGATAGTCCCTTTGACCACTTTTCTGATCCATCCTTGTAGCTCCCAGGGAATGTTCCTGAAGTACGCATTGCATGCCCATCTCCTGAGTCCACAAACGGGGATGTGAGTTGATGAGTTTTGGGAAAGATCGAGTTGGGGAAGATAGACTCGAAAACTAGAGGGGTACGACAGTAACCACACCCCTACGATCCCAGAACAAAGTTGGGGCGTGGGGCGGGGCTTGAAGAAGGGAGTTTTCAAATCAGTGATAGTGGTTGAAAGTGTTTTCAACTGTTAGAATTCTGATCGAAGAGCAACTAGGAAATATTGCTGTGAAACAGTGGGGAAGAAACGATACAAACAGATTCTTTCCGTAACGACAGTAAAAGAAACTCCCAAACGTGTAAATAATGGCGACAGTCTTTAACTCGACTCTTCAGCAACTTCTTGAATGGCTTACACAGTTGCAACTATACACTTGTTTCCCTTTAGCTGTAGCTGTTCAGATTAGAATGCTACGACACAGAGGATATGGATAGACAGGAAGGAACATAAGCAGAAGACTGATGCGCTGAAGCGTGTCAAGTGAGGACTAACGCAGAACGGGGTATCAGAAATGGCACAAAGTCGAGACTGCCAGACTGCGTTAAAACGCATGATGATCTGCAAGGGCCCAGTAACGCACGATTCATAGGGAGTATCGATAGGTGCGGGAAGAAAGAACAGTGTGGTACCGATTCGTGTGCGAAAAGAAGATAAAAATAGGCAAAGGTCCGAGTGAATGTTGGTCTTGAACAAGAAAAACAAAAAGAAGGAGAACGTGGGGGGGAAAAAAGAGTAGGATAAGGTAAGAGGGGGGGGGGGGGGGGGCGCCCCAGCATTAGTGTTTTGGGTTAGAGCAGTTCACGCACATGAGTCCATAGTAATCTGTATGCTCCAGTCGGGCCCTATTTAAATCACTGCAGAGATATCCTCTCCTGTTGTACGGAGCAAGCAAACAGCGAAGAGGTGACTCGTCCAAATCGTCGGGCAGGACTCTATAGAGTGTGGTAGAGGTGAGGATGGGTTGCTGACTGGTATGTATGGAAACTGAGCTACCACAATACTAGTGTTGGGGACTGTCATACAAAACCCCCATCGCGAGCTCGAAGAGTGCAATTGACGACTATCTGGGCGCCGATGAACGAAAAAGAGCACTCACCAATCAGCTGGGTCTGGGGGATACCAAGGTGGAAAGGTGTTTAATTCCTGATCGATCCAGAAGAAGCATCGCTTTGCCATCCATTGCTCTAGAGCATGTCACAAATACCACGAATATGGCTAGTTTCACTGTTTGAAGGATCATTGTTGCAGTTTTTGAATATTCAACTACTATGCCGAACTGAACCAATATCTGTTCCAGACACGCATCATAAACTGCTTACTGCTGTTAAGCGGAAGTTGTATTTGAGTTTAGTTGCTGCAACTTTCAACATCTGTTTGTGCAACATAAAAGGGCAGTGTCCGGGAAGAAACAGAAGAAAGAAGAAACAACGTTCAGTTCCTTGGGTATCAGGTTATTATACTTTATTACTGTAAGAACCAAGAGAAGTAGTGTGAAAGGACTGAGGTGGGTAGAGCCTTGACGCGCTGCTGGTTGCAGAGAGACACAGTTACCCACTGATGGCATTTACCGTGGCAACTCATAGTGACCAAAACCAAAAAATTGCTGTCAGTATGAAGTGGAGTGGAGATGGCAACCGGAATAGAAAAGCGGCAAATGCTCGATCAGAGGCTAACTTTGACGGTTCGTTTGAAAAACAAAAAATACAACGGCATTTTCGAGCGCTGGGGAGGGAACGGTAGAAAGGTATATACTTTGTTAGTAATTGTAGCAAAGTTACAGGACGCGCAAAATTTTGGACAGTTGTGGGCCTGTTTCGAGTGCACTCCATGTCCTCTAAGGGGAGGTTCACCCAGTATGTTGCAGGGCCATTCAGCGTCGATTGGTGCTGTGAAGATAAAAAGCCGGCAGGGCAATAAGACATATTGTGAAACCAAGCCTAAAATGTACATGACTATCCCACCCCGAAATGTGAGGATTTGAGGCAAGCTTTTTGATGGAGATGGATACTC